GGGGATCATCTATGCATGGATTCATCAATATTACTATATGACTTCTAGGTCGGGGAGATTCCCCATAGATCCCATGTTTCAAAACTACAAAAAGTGAAATATCTTTTCCTGGACACGTTTTCGTTTGTATGACTATCAGACTCATAAGGATTATATGAAAATTGATCCACTTAAACTGATAATATTCAAGTTTAAGGGAACTTTCTTATATACCTGCCATGTTAATTAACCCGAATCAGCCACTTGGTGGTGAAACTGGTAACTACCTATTCGCATCTGGGTAATTGGCTTAAGCAGTTCATCGCATCCCGCAAATGTTGAAAATATTAGGTATATTCGGCTTAATTTTGTTATTTGAAACATTAAAATGCCTGGCCAAGTTGTTCGGCGTAGTGACTGAGCACATTGAGCACATGCAACTTTTTCAAAAGGCTAGAAAATCATAATCATAACATTAAGGTATTAACAAAATTGTTTTACAGAAAGTTTAGGATAGGTATATTTTACCATTCAAATATTTAAGCTAAAACTGACTTCTAATGTTTAAGACAGATCTTTGAATATCAATGGTAAATTGTTCATGTGTCCGAGATTTATAGTCTGGGAGCAAAAGTCCGAATAAGAAGTTCCGTGTCCTTTTTAGAGGCGAGCTAAGCGACACACATTTTTATGAACTATTCGTGATACTTACCAAGAAAAATGATGTTGGCAATTCTGGATCCGCGGCGGCGTTGCCATGGTAACCAACTAAATAAGCCACGCCCACTTTTAGGGGCTCTTTACAGTGTGTGGCCCCTATCTCCTTCATTATTGCTCAGATTTCGATGAAATTCACACCAAATGGAAGGTAATAGATAATGCAATCAAAATATATTAAGGTGGCAATTCTGAATCCGCGGCAGCGTCACTATGGTAACAAAGTAGATATGCCACACCCACTTTTAGGGGCTCTTTTCAATGTTTGGCCCATATCTTTGTCATTATTGCTCAGATTTCGATGAAATTTGCACCAAATGAAAGGTAATAGATAAAGCAATCATATATTTTATAAAATATGCAATTAGGGTGATTTGCATCTTAATTATGACGTCATAACTGTTTGTTCTTACATATTTTATCTAAATCATGATGTATAACTCTGTGAAATTATTGTCTTTAAAATGGACAGTAATGCTTTCAACTGGTTTATTTCTTTTATTTGATTTATTAGTTTATTTAATTCATACATTTATGGTCATAAAAAATTGAATAACTTTAATGAAAGATGCCTAATTCTAATAAAAAATGTTAAATTCACACTGTTGCTATGGTAACATCATGTAGCAAAACTATCCGCTGTAACCAAGAATTCTTTAGGAAATGTTACATTTTGACCAGTTGACTGATATGTATATTCTTTTTAAAATTTGATGACAAAATAATCTAATTACTATAGAAAATTATTTAATTTGGATTGTGTTATATTATTATGTCATAAGGGCAATTATTCATCATGGGTGCAGCCAGCCTCAGTCGGAGGGGGGGGGGGGCGATTGTGGCATAACCAACCCAAAAAAAAATTTAAGATGAGTTTTACAAAAAATGATCCAACTTCCTTCAAAAGTGAGCTAAAAGCTTCAAGTCAAAAGCATTTTAACCCAATAATGATAACAGATTGAATGCATTAGTACTTTTTAAAATTTTAAGATGAGTTTTACAAAAAATGATCCAACTTCCTTCAAAAGTGAGCTAAAAGCTTCAAGTCAAAAGCATTTTAACCCAATAATGATAACAGATTGAATGCATTAGTACTTTTTAAATAATTTTTATGTTTTTCTAACCTGGGTCACATAACTAAGAAAAAAATAGTTTTGGTTCTAGAGGCATCCCAAATACGGGACATAGATACAAGTGCCCATGATAAGATTTTGGGTTAAGAGGTTATGATTTCGTGGTTGTAAAACCTATTTATTATATCATAACTTTAACAAACATGTAATTTTACACTGTCATTAACTTAAACTTAGTCTGTTTGTTATATTTCAATACTAAATAGGCAATTGTGGCATTCAAAAGGACGGCAGTGGCCCCATATGATCCGAGCATTCGAGCATGAAGGAGGATGAAGCATTCGAGTGGCCCCCAAAAGCATTCTAGTGGCCCCTGTGGCCTCCCTAAGCATCATCCTAGTGGCCCCCAGATGCCCCAAAAAGCATCCAAATAGCCCCCAGATGCCCCCCCCAAAAGAAGCATCATAGTGGCACCATGTGGTCCTCAAAAGCATCCTAGCTGTCCCCAGTGACCCCCCAAAACATCCTAGTGCTGCTATGAGGCCCTCAAAAGTATCCTAGTACCCCTCTGTTACCCATGACTTCAACCCAGTGGCCCCCTGTGACCCCATAACGTTGCCCAATAAGCATCTCAGTGGCCCAAGTGGCCTCTAAAAGCACTCCAATGGCCAAAAGATCATTCTAGAGGCTCCAAAAGCTTTCAAGTTGCCCCCAGTGACCCCAAAAAATCATACTAGTGACACCCAGTGGCCCAAAAAGCATCCAAGTGGCCCCATTATGCCCCTTAAGAGCATCCTAGTGGCCCCCAAAAGCATCCTATTGACCCCTATGGCCCCAAAAAGCATCTCAGTGGCCCGAAAAGCCACCTGTGGACCCCAAAATCAATCTAGCTGCCCCCAGTGGACCTAAAAGCTTCCCACTGTCCCCACCAGTGGCCCCTTAAAAGCATACTAGTGACACCCAGTGGCCCAAAAAAGCATCCAAGTCGCCCAACTATGCCCCCTATAAGCATCCTAGTGGCCCCCGAAAGCATTCTGTTGGCCCTCTGTGGTCCCAAAAAGCATCTCAGTGGCCTCTAAAAGCACTTCGAAGGGCCCCAAAATCATTCTAGTAGCCCGCAGTGTAACATAGGCATAGCCAGGGGATGTAATGAGTGCAACCCCCTGTAACCAATAAAAATAGAACCATACATTAGATAGAAGTAGAGTTTTAAAATGCATTTGACTCGAAGCTTCTAGTTTCTTCTCAGTTTTGAAGGAAGCTGCATCAATTTTTGTAAAATTAAACAAAATCTTTAACAAAATTTGTGTCGAACCACCCCCCCCCCCACCGAGAGCTTGCTGCGCCCCTGATTATTGCCCATTTGACATCATAATATAACAAAATCCAAATTAAATAATTTTCTATAGTTATTAGGTTATTTTCTGTCACCAAATTTTAAAAAGAATACATGTCAGTCAAATGGTCAAAATGTAACATTTCCTAAAGAATTCTCTTGTTTACAGCAGATCCTTTTACTACTTGCTGTTACCATAGCAACAGCGTGAATTGGACACTTTCATTACATTTATTCTATTTTTTATAACCATACATGTATGAATGTAATAAACTAATAAACTCGAACTTAAAGAAATAAACTAGTTAACTAGTTAAAAGTATTACTGACCATTTTGAAAATAATAATTTCAGAGATTTATACATCATGATTTAAATAAAATACACAAAAACAAACAGCTATGACGTCATAATTAAGATGTAAATTCCCTTATTTGCATATAATATGAACTGTATGATTGCTTAATCTATTACCTTTCATTTGGTGCAAATTTCATCGAAATTCGATTCCGAATTGTAAACTTAATATATTTTGATTGCATTATCTATTACCTTCAATTTGGTGTGAATTTCATCAAAATCTGAGCAATAATGAAGGAGATAGGGGCCAAACACTGAAAAGAGCCCCTAAAAGTGGGCGTGGCTTATTTAGTTGGTTACCATAGCAACACCGTCGCGGATTTAGAATTGCCAACATCATTTTTCTTGGTAAGTATCACATATAGTTCATAAAAATATATGTCGCCTAGCTCGCCTCTAAAATGGAAACGGAATTACTTTTGCTCCCATACTATTACTGCTTTTCGAAGAAAATGTGAATTTTAATGATTTTATGTGACAATCTCTGATATCTGTTTATTCAATATCTAGTACAGTTTCATATCAGTATCTACTTACTATGGTATTATGTTATACTGATCTATTATTATTATTTATTAATCACATGTTCTTACATCCACCTTTTACCTTCACTGTCGCTCCCAGCCATCGGGCAAGGGTCACTTTGGACTGGAGGAGGATACTTCTAGATTTATCAGTCCTGATGAATTGCTGCCCAATACACCAGATGCTAACCCCTGTGACTATCTCACATGGGGGCACCTGGAGCAGTTTATTGCAGTTATTGGTAATCCCCACAGAACCTATTGATCAACTAAAAGAAGTTCTGTAGGAGAATTGGAAAGAACTACCACAAAATCGCTGGATGTTGCCATTGCAGTTCCGCCCTCGTATCTGTGTGATAGTGAAGGTGAAAGGCGGATGCATGGATGCATTTTTAAATAGATAATTAATAGATAAAGGGTAACATACTACCATAGTGAGTAGATACTAATATAAAACTGTACTAGCCATTGGTTAAACAATTTTCAAAGATTGTAGCAGATTTAGTGAACATAATGAATGTGTTATTGTTGATCACATAAAATCATAGAAAGTCACGTTTTCTAGGAAAAATGGTAAATCTTAGACACTGAACAATTTACGACTGATATTCAAAGATCTGTTGAAAAAATTAGAAGTCAGTTCTAGCTTTAATATTTGAATGGTAAAATATGCCTATCTTAAAGTTTCTGTAAATCAATGTTTATGTCAATACCTCAATGTTATGATACTTTTCAGCCTTTTAAAAAAGTTGCAAAATTTTTTGGCACACCCTGTATATATATTTGTTTCCAAAAACAATATTACCATCTATATTTAATGATAATCCTAAAATGACACACGAGATGGCACCACCTTACTGAGATCGGTGATCGACTCCTCGTTCCTTATGATCATACATATGTATTGAAAACTAGTGATAGAAATAATGTTTATTGAAAGATGGCAGTGCGATGAATCTGTTCAAGAAAGAAAGATTTTTACCTTCCTATTTGAACTATTTACCCACTTAGCTTATATTCACTCGATGTAAATGGTAAATTAATGTAATTAATGTAAATTAATCCTAATGATGAAAATGGCACTTTCTGCAATTTTCATATGATTATTTACGTGGTCGCGAATGGACGTCAGAAAATATAGTGGGGGGGTGCTCGCTTTCCTTTACCAGGGGACTAACTTGGGAAAACGCCATCTTGATCCGAAAAAGGGAAAAAAAAACGTTCCTCATTCACTGGACAAAAAACGACCAGAATTTTATCTGAGGAGCTAATGTATGAGTACGATGCTACGACGTACTAGAATCCACTAAATCATTCCACATTATAATTGTTGTCATATCGACGTTATTCTTACAGTTACAAAGTAAACGTGAATCTTTTACAAACATTGCTGCCTGCAAATTAGGATACTATTTTAGCCATTATATCTAGTTTCCTTGGTCAAAGGGAGTTGGAATTCCATAGCACATGTCTACTTATTTTATTACGTTATTCATTAAATTTTATCGTACTGAAGTAAATAGCTTTGCCATTTTTATCAATCTCAAAATGTAGAATGTTTGCGTCTGTGGTATCTTCCCACGTTACAACCTCAAGCTGATCGCCAACTTCACTCTCTCCTTTATAGGAAGCATCCCAAGATACTGCATGGTATTCTCCCATATCGTCTTTAAAAAGAGAATAAAAGTTTTCCTTTCTCGCCATTTCAGCGCAGTCCATACTGTACTTGACGTACGCTGCCTGATTGGTATGGTACAGGACATCCATATCGCTGTGAGTAACGTTCAGTTTGTGCGTGAAACAATGCTCTCCTCGTTTAGGAGTCAGGAAATATGTAGGTGTTATAGTTGACCATATTTTCATTTTGTCTTTGTACTGTGTTGGAAGTTTGGCAGCTTTTCTGGCACTTATGTCAACGTAAGCAAAATAGTCTTGACATTCAACATACAATTCATCTGTTTTTGTATCTTTTATTTCTACTTTACAACCAATTGAGCCATCTCCAATATAATTCAATGCCTTTACGTACGTCAGACTCAATCCTATATTAGCGTTTACGTAGAACTTTGGATTAATCGCCATCTGTTTCCCTATCACCATAAATGTTTTTGTTAAATCAGTTCCAATGCTTGCAAAATCAGCTTTGAATGCTCTAGAAATCTCCACCAAACGAGCTATCTTCCAAACACTCAAGTTACCTGGAAATATATATATTAAAATATATTCAGATAAATATATATAAGTATAATGTTACTGTCATTGTACAAGTGTTGAGAGACAGCTGCAGTTGACTTGTTTACACGTATACATTTTATTTCACTACAGTGTACTAATGCCCACTATTGTCACCTAATCGGAATGGGTTAGAAGCGCAGGTCTTAACCATTTTTGAAGTTTCGTTCCAGTAAAGTGAGGTATTAAATCGAGAATTAAGTCTTCTGAACTATTTGTTCGCAAACATGTGCATTTTTTAGACATATGAAACTGATATAATTTGTAATAAAAATGTTGTTGGAATTCAGTCTACAACGCGTGAAATGAGGAAAAAAGAAAAATCGTACCTTCGAGGTTCCGACATTTTGTAACCGACACAGTTCGTTTCAGTTACCAGCGTAATCGAGTGGATCACCAGTAGTGATCTGTCAGTGTACAAATGATTTCGGAACTATTGAGACGCAACATTTACACCAGGTTTATAATTTGTATTTTAGAGAGGTTGGTGGTCGTTCTTAGTACAATCGCAACTTACGACCGTCGTAGCCTCTCTAAAAACATACTATAAACGGAACAGTCTAGAGAGGTATATCTAAGATAAAGACTGAAATGCCCAGGGAAAGTTTGGTTCAAAAGCTATCATGATAAACAAATAAAAATTACATAGGCATATTCAGTTAGCGAGAACATATTGGTACCACTTGATTTACTTGGAGATGATATTAGATATGAATACTTAATGTCCGATAACGAGACTTTTGTGTTGATTTTAAGACACAATAATATTTACCTGGACGTTAAATAGTTTCATAGAGTGTTGATATAGGGATTGAAAATCCCAAATATATGACTGGTTCATTGAAAGGTATTTTGAAATGAAGCCTATTTTACATCATAACCAAGGGCTCTAGGAATTATTTATATCCCTAATGTAGCCACGGAAGGTGACATAACCTGTGTTCCCATGTCAGCAACGCTAAATCGAAATAACACGTACACGGTGTCGGCTGCAGAATATGGAAAATTTCAGAGTGATGAAGAAAATTCATCCGACTCTATTGGTAAACGTGGTTTATGGGAAGCCACCCAGAATATACTGCGGTCTCATGGAGCCGAACAGCCAACTGGACAAGATGAAATTAGAAACATAAGAACAGAATTGAAACAATTCAAAGAAACACCAAGTAAAAATGTAAAAAATATGCACGAGCGCAGCAATATATCGAGATTACGCTCAGCAAGTATAAACAGGCAGGTTTCAAGGTATTCCTCTTCATGAACGATTGTGTATGTGTCAGCAAGGGATCGAGAAGAAGATGCATATCCTCATTGACTGTGAACTCCATACGGATGCACGAAGGGCCACGAAGGGATTTTATTGAACTTTTTATTGAACTTTGTAAAAATGAAATCTTTGATTTTAATTCTAGCTTGTCTGGCCAAATACTGCTCGATTATGAACAGCTCTGTTCTCCAAAGATCATTGGCAAAAACTATACATAAAATAATGTGCAGCAGAAGAGAATATGATATTTGAATATTTATTTTTACATCTGAGTATATTTATATGTTTTTACTATAGCTTTCTTGAGTCTCTCATACGCCGAATCCGGCGGGGCTGTTAATTTTGGGATATATTTTAGTATTGTTCTTGAACAGTGTGAGACCTTAATAAATATTTTACTAACTAACTAACTATATATCAATATAGGAATCACTTTTTATAATTGTCAATTAATAGCAGTTCAAATCTTATCATTTATCTTTTAATAGTCTTTGATCAATATATTCTACCTTTGGAAAAATAGTAAAGTAAGGAATCTTATGTATAGTACGTAAAGGATCCGTACCCATTAGTGTACCTATAAGAACTTAGAAAATTATTGAAAAGGGTAAAATGGAATTCCAGAATTATTTTTATGCAATTTGAATCTTTATTAAGTATATTTTCAACAAATTACAAAAATAGTGTGGAAAAAATGGTAAAAGGGTGTTTTTTACAGTGATTCTTAACACATGTCATGTTGACTCTTCAAATGAGTAATTTTGACATATTTTCACAGAAACTTGATTAAAATCTTGAGTTTTGTAGATAGACTTAATTTCACTTTTCAATATAAGAACTACAATGTGTCCTAATCTACTAAGCTTCATTTCATGTACCATTCATGCATAAATAGTTAGTAATCCTATTGTATTGAAAGACACCCTATTGTGTTTTTGTTGTAAACAGTAAATGACCTTCTCCATTCATTGAGTGATTGAGGTACTTCCACAAACCAGACCCCCTCTGAATTTACCTTTATTGTTTAGTATTGACAGTATTTTATAATTCAAACATGAAATAAGAGAGGGTCCTAAGTGTGGAAGATACACAATATGAAAGTATAGCAAAAATTTTAGTTTCAAAAGGGAGGCCATATTGAAATTGCCATTATAGTCAAGAATCCATTCTGCCTTGAATGTATTGCTTAAGGTAGGTGCAACATAGAACCTTCTACAAAAATAGAAAATCTTATTTGGAAAGATATTCTTGACTGAACCTTCCAACAAACTCTGTCATTTACAATAACTATTGTGTCAATGTATCACGCCACAGAGACATCCAACCCGGAATCCCATAGGTAATTCTGAGCACCATGTTCAAACCTCTAAACAGATTTGTATTCAATTTTCAATGATAACAAGATCAAAGAAAACGTGTCATTTGCAATAAAGCAATTAAATCACAGGTAACTTAAAATAATGTTTTTCAGAAATCTGTTCATGGGGTATACTATTAGAACATGTGATAACAATGAGCCTGATAATCGAAAAAGTATGTTTCGTCAAGTCATTAGTTCAAATGAATATTGCTTGTTAAGTGTTCATGTGAAATAAACTAAGACTATTATGTCATCTATCATTGTTTCAATTTCTTTGACAATGAAAATATAATGCAATGGAAAGTCGCAACTAGATTCAGCTTGAATTTAGGTTTTGTATTTTCAACTGTTGCTCTTTGTATTCTACCTTATCTTTAATGATGTTTTGACATCTAGTTTTGACAAGTATCTAGGTTGAATACCTAGGTTAAAGCTACAGTATATACAATAAGGGTGATCATGGTTCTATTGTTCAGAACACATTTAACAAGGTTCGTTTTATCAAATGATAGATTATTCTTGGGGGTTATTTTATGATTTGTGTTTTCAGTATGTTGCCCTTTGTGTCCCACCTTTATGATATATTAATATACCCTCTAGGTTGAATGCCTACTGTTAACCAACTGAGGTGATCATGGTACTATTGTTGATAACACATTTATTAAGGTTCATTTTTTAAAAGATATATTAAGTTTTCGTTTTTTTATGATATGTGTTTTCAATATGTTGCTCTTTGTGTCCTACCTTAACGATGTTCTGATATATCGATTGAGGAATGGTCAACATAGTTAAAATGATCATGAATGAAGACTAACATACCCCTAAAATGATATTTAGAATGATTTGCGTAGTCAAACTTAAATGCACCGAATGACCTTAGTTTTAATCCAAATGACCTAATTTCAGTTTTGATGTGTTCATAATTGATAAAAGTAACTATTTTCAAATTATTTTTAATGAAACCTTTGAGGGCACCTTCAGGTACATTAGGTAACGGATCCTTTGTGGTATATATATTAAAACCACATCGAGCAATTCAACACAATTCTTTCACCATTCTCAATTTCAAACTGAATGAGCTTTTTATCAGCTTCATTTTGCCATGTATTAACTGTAAGTACGTCGTCCAATCTACTTCCTCCAGTGAAAAGCAAAAGGCATCTTTTAACTTGGTGTTTAAGGAATTCCTTGTCAAAACCTTGATAGATTCCTCTCGAGCTTGCCACACAAGCTGCGTCAAGGCAGAAACTGGAGTATCTGTTTTGATTCACATGGTTGTTGATGTCCAAATCACTAGGAACAACTCTGCTGTTGTGTTTAAAGCAATCCATTGGTTTATGCATTTTCAGAGAAAAGTCACCTCTTGGCATTTTCGTCAACTCTTTATATCTGTTTATATACCAGGCAGGTAACGGGGCTAATTTTCCTGATTTTGAATCCACAACTGCGTACATAATATCGCACGATGCAACATTGGGTGTCTCATCGTTGACTGTCCCCGGTGTGCCTTTCCAGTTGCAACGAACTGAGAATGATGACGTACCTACGTGAACTAGTTCCTGATCTATTATCTGCGTTGCTGGTTTATGGACGTTCACACATGCTGCAACTGGACTGTCAAATGTCTTTCGATAGAGTTCCTCTCCAACGGTGTATTTGATAGCACGTGCAAATGGCCGAAAACCATCTTCGAAGAGACTGATATAAGATCCAAAATCATTGTTGAAAACTGTGATTGCCCTGGACATGGAGAATATTTTCCCAATAGTATGAATATTTAGACCACCTGGAAGCATATGCACCAACGTTTTAATTCAATTTGGAAATACCACAATTCAATATGTGTTAATAGGGAAATTCATCACAACAAACATAGGGACGACGTACATTACTGGTTCATTTTGAATTATAGTGTCTTATTAAATATAATTGCACTATATTGCACAAAAACATAACATCTTTGGTTTTAGCAATTGTCACGTCTCGGATCTAGCAGGTGTAATGTTAGAGGGTCAGTCAAAAGTCTTTAGATCGTAAAACGATGCAGTCATGAAGAACACAGGCTTTTCATCATTCATGATTTCAAAATGTAACATGTGAGTGTTATGTTCATCTTCCCACGTATTGACAGTAAGCGAATCTCCGACAACATTCTCCCCTTTAAACAGCACGGTCAATTCCTTACACTTATAAAGGAGAATGTCATTTTTGAAGTTTTGGTAGAAACCATCAGAAGTAGCGGCCCCAGCGGTATTCATGGAGAACTTAACATAGCTAGCTTGATTGGCATGATAAAGAAGATCCAAGTCACTGTGCACTACTTTGATTGCAGAGGAGAAAAACATTTCTGGCTTTTTGTTGGGCTTTAATTCCGGTACAACTACATTTCCACCTTCATAGAATTGTTGTTTTTTACGAAATTCTTCTGGCATTGGTTTTGGACGCCTTGTGGTTGCATCTATATGCACTAAATTCACAACTGTTTCTATATAAGGCTCATTCGACACGTGATCTCGCAAACGATCTACAAACGAAAAGGATGAATTTCCAGTTCTGTAAAGTTCACAGCTCAAATCCAAAGGAAAGTCGATACATCCATTGTCGTAAAACTCCTTCCTGATTGATATTTGCAATGACAAGATAACATTCACGTCGCCATATTTGTCTAGATGAACGAATTCTTTAAGTCCAAGGAGGGTTCTCCTGTTTTCAAGCAATCGACAGATTTTCCAAAGTGTTATATAGCCTGAAAAGGGAAGCAAAAGTTCATAGAATATGGTACTCTAACAAACTATACCAATAGTGAATAATTTAAAATGACTAATGTGATATTAGTCTCGTCATATGGAGTTGGGGTGTCACAAAAAAGTAAAGATAAAATTGCGGATATGTTACACCAAAATTGTTTTATCAAAAATAAATTACATATACAAAATTATTATTCATAACCATTAGTACTTGAATGTCAAAAATGCAATTCTTAATTACAAATATAGACTGATAGACCTAAACCATACCATCATTGGTTATAGTGTCACAGTTTAAGGGGAGACGTACATAGAAAATATTTTCTTTTACTGGACATGTTTTAATTTGCATAACTATTAGATACATAAGGGTGATATGAAAATTGAACCACTATTTAGTTATATAATTATTTTTTTTATTTCAAAGAATAAGCATGTTAAAGCAATTGCAAAAAACAATTACAATACAGTTACATGGTAAACATACATTTTACAATTTTACAATACAGCATTGGTTAGCCTTCTATTATTATTCTTAAGAAATGTTATTACATTGGCAATCTTTTTTATTTTAAGGAAAAATCATCAGTATCATTTGTTTAATTTTGCTTCCATGATTTTCCACTTATCGCCTCTGCCAACCCGTTTATCCATAATACAATATTCCTTCACATTACTTATATAACCTTTAAGTGTTGGTTTTAGCATAGAATGTTTACACAAATAAACATACCTTTTAAAAATACATAGCATATTATTTAGGATGATTGTTTTTTCATTTATACTCTCAGGTCCTATCAATACATTTTGTTTAGTACATAAGAATGTGAGCTCTAAAGGGAGCCATTGTTTAATGTCATTTAATAAAGCACTTACAAAAGTACATTCATACAGAAGATGGCAAATCGTTTCAGGATTTGCTTTACAGAAAGTGCAAATGTTTGACTCTATGAGTCCACACATCTTTAGGTATGTATTAGTTGCTAAAAATCTATGAAGGACTTTGTAAGTGAATGATGCTAACTTAGGTTCATAGTTACTCAGTTTGTTAAGTTTATTTATCTTCTTCCAATCATTTTGATAGAGTGACAAATTCAGATCTTTATTCCATCCTTCTATATATTTTGAATTCTTTTCTAGGTTCTGAACAAATTCCCAGTATATTATTTTACTAATCTTTGACTGAGTCATAAACTTTTTTACACGTGCTTTGTTTCTTTCATAATCAGTGATATTTTGATTATTCTCCATGACGTCTCTTAGCCAAGACTTTGGAATAGTATTTTTTAGACTCAAATAGTCTAAAAAATTAATATTACTGTGGAATTTGTCATTGATTTCTAATAGGGTTAGAAGTCTTTTTGAATTTTGAAATACATCTTGTAGTACAATTACTTCATTGTTAACCTTTGTATTTTGTAGTATATATTGAACATTTTGATTTTTGGTATGTTTCCCCCATGTATTACACATAGCTTGTTCAGCTCTCAGTTTAGTATTATGTTCAGCTTCTTTTTCTTTTTGTTGTGTGTAAATTCTCAGAACATGAACAAAATCTCTCCAGAAATTATTCGAAATTTTTCAACCCCATTAAAACTCAACCCCAAGTCAACTCAACCCTGTAAAACTCAACCCCAGCAAAACTCAACCCCTATATTTCTATATATTGATAAACTTATAAGAAAGTTTATTTCATAAAAATAATTCGAATGATTCAGTTTGTGATTTTCATTCTTAGACCACTGCCTTTTTGGATGAATATGGGTCATTTTATTAATCTTGCTAATACGTTTGTTTTGTTGTAATCCCTATGAGGTTGACACTCTTGATTATTTGGAAAACTGGAACATGACCATTGCTTTCCAGGGGCATAGCCAGCTTTCACTCAGGAGGGATGCGATCGCCCAAAAAATTAGGTTTTCAGTCAGGGTGTGCCGATCGTGGCATAAGCGAGCCGAAAAAAGATATGTTTTGACAAAAAATGATGCAACTTCCTTCAAAATTGGGGGGAGGGTGTGTGCGAACTCCTCCTTGCTACGTCTACGTCTATGTCTAAATTATCTAAAATTTGATTTCAAAATCTTAAATTCAATAATAGTGACAACTTGATGAATTATCCTTGAGCTTAACCGTTTTTTTTAAATACTTTTACAACTTTCTATTCAAAGTATCATGCAAAATGCTAGATTTTCAGATATTAATGACTTAAATTATTCTTCATAAGAAATTAAATTAAACATTGCACAAATGAATAGGGTTGAGTTTTACTGGGGTTGAGTTTTACAGGGTTGAGTTGACTTGGGGTTGAGTTTTACTGGGGTTGACTTGACTTGGGGTTGAGTTGACTTGGGGTTGAGTTGGACTGGGTTGAGATGACTTGGGGTTGAGATGACCTGTCACCTCTAAGAAGTTTTTGCATCCATGTAAGTTTGAGGGATTGTTCGAACAGCGTTGGTTCAATCATTCTCAAACCTCCATCTTCAACATTTTGAACTAATTGTGAGAAGCTTACTTTTGCTACTGTAGAATTCCATATAAATGAAGTAAACAGTTGTTTTATTCTTTTATGATTTACACATGACAATTTGGGCAACACTAGAAATAAATGTACTACTTTAGGCAAAACAAACGATTTAAGAACCGTTATTTTTCCTAGTATTGACAAGTTTCTTTTTTTTATATCTACTTATTACAGTTTGCATTTCCTGAATTTTGTTTTCAAAATTAATGGATTCAAGATTTTGAAGATCTGATGTTAAATTTAACCCGAGTAACCTAAACTTAGATTCCCATGTGAGTGGAATGTCTTCACACATTTTTTCTGAGTTGTGTTTAATTCCTAACCATATTGCTGATGTTTTTTCTTTATTCAGTTTTAACCCTGATGTTTCATGAAACTTGTCAAAAATGTACATACATTGTCTCAAGGAAGAGGGAGTTCCATCTAGGAAGATAAACGTGTCATCTGCGTACATACCAACCTTTATCTCTTAATCGAATATTTTGACCCCTTTAACTTCTACATCCTTTTTAATTTTTGAACATAAAGGCTCTAGAGCTAAGATGAATGCGTAGCAAGAGAGCGAATCTCCCTGCCTGCAGCCTCTCTTTAATTTGAAAAAACTTGAAAAGAAACCGTTGTTTATTACGCAACTTTCGCTTCCATTGTATAAAATCTTAAACCATTTCAAGAAGCTATCTCCAAAAGCTATCTGCTAAAAGTAAAAGACCCTTTTGCTCTTTTCTATTGAGATAATCCATAACGTCATACACTAGTCTTGTATTTTCAGCCATCTCCTTACCCGTTATATAATTATATAAGTTATAAATATATAGTTATATAATATTATATATTATATATTTGAATATTTAATGACGTAAGTCAAGATTATTTCTACTCGCATCTAGTCTATTGATGAAGCATTGAGAGAAAAAATGCTTTTATATTTGCATACCAATTATGGTAATAAAATTATTGTTATAAAAGCTTAGAATAGTGTTCGCACCATGTCTCTAAGAGCCAAACTTTACTCACAATCTAAGATGTGTTACTGATTATGACATTGAATGCAATATATCTATTTCTAGAATATAACTATACAATGAAATTTATTTTGGTCTTTTATAAAATTATTAGAATGTTTATTGATTACAATGCTGATACAAATTAATTGATAAGTCGTATAAGTGGCATATTTTCTTGAATTTTAACATTTAATGTCCCAAACTACCACAAACTGCAAAAAAGTATACACCGTAAATCATATTTACCAAAATGAGTGTTTCCAAGGCTTCATACCAGCGTATGCATAATGCATTTGTCACGAATTTGAGCTGAAGTTTTGCTAAAATGAAATAAGGGTAGTCTCTGTCAGGTTTGTTTATTGTGGTTAGCTTTTATGGTAAGTGCTCAGAAGCAAATAATTCATGTGCGCAAAATAAATAATCTGATTGGTTTAAACTTTACTGCACATGTGCACAATGTGTGCCATGGTTTTTCTAATGATTTCATTTCGGCCAAACTGCCCCAATACGTCACTTCCGTAGTTTAAAAAATGAATGTAGTCCCAACACAATTGTGATCATGACGAGTCAGCAGTAAGCTAGTATATAGGTACAGTTGTCGTCTTTTTGCACTGACAACATGCCATTTCTTCTGAAAATGCGTTTATTTGGGTTATCTGAAGGAAAATTTCGAGTCAAGTGGCGTATTAATTTTGCCTCGATTTTTGTGAAATTCACTTTCTGTCGGCAGAGAGAGGGGGTAGTGTCACAATTGACCAATTATTTCAAAAAGTAGATGTTTGGCCCCAATTGAGTTTAGTGTCAAAATGTAGCTTAGACATAGCTTTAGAACCTCAGATAGGCCAGTGAGGCCACATAAATCCATAACTCGAGATAAAAAGTCAGGCGTTTGCCCTTTTACCCATTGACTAGTATGGTGACGTGAATTAGGGCAGTTTGGCCTTCGTTTCATGGAGTTTGCGTTTCAGTATAACTTCCGGAAAAATGGCGGACCAATGACAGAATTAAAGGTGAAATAATTAGTGCAGAGGGGTCATTCAACGATCATGGACCAGTGTCAAAATATATTTAAGTTTGGATATTTCATCAAGACTAACATCTATTTTTATTATCTACAAAGAAACCCCCTAGATAAACATTATTTTAGCTGATATTCTTCTTGAAACATGGTGGATCTTAAAAATATAAAAGTGGAAGTCCCCTTTTTGAAGCTTTGAACTGAATTTGAACTTCTTAATGCTGAAATTGATAATTTGTCCATACATTTTAAGAAAGTAGGTATGTCAAAGAAGATGTTAAACCAAATGTTGCCTTGATAGCTCAGAAAAAATAAAAAAAAATTTCCTATTTTCTCTACAGTCCTTTTTGCCCCTTTAGCAGGTAAAATCACTTCGAAATTTTAAGAGAACTTTTTACCTATAAGAGCAAAAACGTTTGTTTTATGTGTGCATTCTATCTATCAGATAAGAGTCTCAGGGGTATGTAGGCAAATTCATTTTGGTAGGAGCACTCTGTTTAGTTTGAAAACGCAACCTTTATTATTTTATATCAGCACTGTTTTTGCAATTCTCTCCTCTTGGGTTGTGTACAGATATGTCCAATGACTTTATATATTTCGTTTAATACATGACAATCCAGTAAATGTAAAAGTCTAGAATCCAATTAAATCAATTTCATATTTGATGAAGGTATCAGGTAGGTATGTTATCATATTAATTGCAGGCATACCATCATTATTATTTATTCAAAAGACAAAATAAAATCTCAAGCAATGATTATCAATCTTGATCTATACTGAACAAAAATATCCATTTTAAAATTCCCGGTAGAGATGACTACCATGCCACTAGTTATTTTCTGTAGTCTAATTTAAAAAACAATGACCAGTGAAAGTAACTGGTCAACACAACCCCAAGTCAACTCAACCCAAGGTCAACCCAACCCTTAGTCAACTCCACCCCAAGTAACTGCGCGCAGAGTCTAGGTATAAACTATGAAGACGAAGCTCTCTTTTCAAGACTGAGAAGAAATAAGATGTCATGGTTTATCATGATGGTGTTCTGAGTCCTGCAGTTATCATTGCCCTTAACAGCAGGGTACACAGCTAATATTATAGAAAATGTGACCGTTCGATTGTATGTCATAGATCAAATTAAATGAAAGGCAATCGCAGGTTCGTATCTGATCAGTGTGTATAGTTTTCACACATTTGGATCAAGTGTTAAATAGACATGAGTTCATTTTTTAAATTATTTGTAATGAAATCAACATAGAGGTTACAATCCCTGGGCACCAACGAGTACAGCATCTTTATGTTCAATATTCTTTTATTGATGTACCCTCAGTATAGTTCCATAGTTGATTGTAAAATAGACGCCTCTTGATTTTTTATTTCAAAGTTAATTTGTCTCTTGTTTTCAAGGTCTTCCCAAAACAGTACGTGTAGTTTGTCGGACACCAAACTTTCACCTAGGAACCAGTTTGAATAACTTTTGAGACGCATACTTTCAAAATCCTTTGGGATATGTTTGAACTTTCCATTTGCTGCGACCAGTGTGGCAAAATCACAGCAGTATTTTGCATATGATGCGTGGTTTGTATGGTCGTTATAGTCCAAATCTGATGGCAATACATCAAATCCCTTCTTGAATATGCAAACGTCATCTTCAGGTAAAACTAATGGCTTAAACTTTGTAATAAGTGCAGACTTTGGTGCAAATCGTTTCAATGCAACGACAATACCAGCCGGTAGGTTTTTAGGGCGTCGTGTGCGTTTATCTATGTATACAACCTTTCCTATACACTTTGCAAGCTCTTGCTTGGTATGTGAGCTTATGATTGAAGTGATATGTTCATATGAGCTACTTCCACAGTGTCCATAATATCCAACCATTTCAAAGGGCTTATGGGCACACTCTATTTCATCGTGGAGATGATCCGAGAACTCATACCGCGTTCCCACTAAGAATTGAAGGTCTGCCGTGGGATCAACATTGAACAGATGTTTCCACTGCATCACCATGACGATTCTCAAAGACTCCAATAAGCGACATACTCGCATAAGCTGGATCTTCCCTGAAGTGAGAAGTAGGAAATGTGGTTGTGTTAATATACTCAGCCAATTTGATGTATACACGATTAATAGATGAACAATCACTGCCAGCATACCATAAATGCCTACAAAATCCATTGATAAGGTCTCGTTACGGCAGCTATTACACTTTGAATTCGATTCGTTTGACTTCGCTTCTAAAAGAGAGCTTCGTAGTTTATAACTAGACTCTGCACGCAGAGTAGGCAGCTATTGAAACGATGAGTCCACCATTTATCCTTTAGATTTGAAGAATGTGTTCGTATGAACTATTAAAACTAGGTCATTTTTACTATTTCTATTTGCTCGGAAGGGACCTTTATAACAAGTGGCGAACAGTTTTTCCTTTCAACACCAGTTTCAAATGGTCATTCACAAGTATTTAGATACATGGATGTTAATCTTTTTAATTGTTCAATTCGAACTGGTAAATAAAACTATACAAAGTTCAAGTATTTTGTCAGTGATAGTACAGCGTCCAGGGGTCGTCTTATATACCAATATATACATTCTAGAAAAAAGATAACCTTGCAGTTTACGACGGGTCTCGCATTATGTTTTAATAATGAAACATAGAGATGTCGTTAGTAGTAATAGTCCGAGTAAATGATAATGCAATTTTAGGCACCAAATCAGGCACCAAATCAGGCACGAACTTTGACCCCAGACGATTGCCGAACGTTTAGTGACGTCAGAGTTTAACCTCTGTGGATCCAACGTTTCTCGATCGTACCCCAACGTAATACGGGATTCCCTAACGTTTCCCGAACCTTTGACTTCCGTGGATGACTGATTGGTCGCTTGACTTCCGGACTGAGGTCAGTGTGAATTTTCTCGGACGAGACGCTCTGATTGGTCAAATACGAATGATACAGTTTCATAAAAGTTAAACGATTCTCGAACGTTTAGACGATATCCAAACGTCTTTAAGACGTCAGTGTTCCGTGGATGATTGATACTCTCCGATCGTTCGGTTGACTTTCGGAGACAATTGATAAGATAATAAAACCAAATGACAAATGATTAATCTGTTACCTATTACCTCAGAGTCTATAAAAAGTGACTTTATAGCCTAGATTATAAAATACAAAATGAATAGAGGTTTGGCACTCATTACAATGAATATGGAAATTGATAGAAACGTTGTTACTACATATTTGTTCTTTGTTTCCCCATCACAGCAAGAAATCTGTATGTCACAAACCAACATCCTACCAATGTTTCTCGAACGTATTTTCCGACGTCAGGTGAAATACAAGATTTCTTACACCCCCACAATTCCAACGCCTACACCCCTGGTCATATAGGATCTACTGGATGTTAATGTTTCTCGATCGTATTCTCCAAACCTGGATGCAATACGAGATTTCCTACACCCCTATTCTTCCGTAGCCCCGACAATCTATGGACTTTACCTTATACATTCCAAATTAGGCAATGGAAAGTCGTAAAGCTAGGCATGCGAAATTTTCTGTCATTTTTAAAGAAATAATAGGATACTTTTGATTTGATTTTGAATAGGCAAATCGTTTGAAATGAAGATTATTCGATTCCTCATATATTCTCTAAACTATTGATGTTTAAGCCAGCTAAAAACATGAACTATTTGATAATTCTTGACACATATCTTAAGATTAATTACCCAAATGTAACTATTTAGGGCCCAGTTCTCAGTTTAGTCAGACAACAATATCATTAAAATAAGTATATTCTTACAACTAAGGGGCAACAATGTGTCATAAAGTTCTAAAAAAATCGGACATTTTATAAAAATAAAGAATTCTTAAGGAAGTGGCAAAAAGAAGCAAGACAATTCTTTCACAGATGACTGCATTACGATGTATTGTTGTTAAGTCTCGACAAAATGGGAGATACTTACTAAACTTCTACAAGCAAAAGTGAGCGTTTCTACGTGAAATGCAGTGAAATCCCTAAAGTGAAACGGATATTTCTACATTAAATGGCACGGGAAATGACAGCAAGATATTCAAAATATAGATAGTTCTACATGTACACTACATGCACTACATATCCGTCTTTTTTTTCTTAGCGTTGTACGGGAAATACCATCACAACAGGAAATCCAGAGGTCAAAGTAACCCTCATAAACATAATACGACAGCCTACGCCACTCAATGTCTATCCTGGCTGTTTACAGGTTTAGATAAATAGCCTGTGCTACGTTTTTTGTAAGATTATGCAAAAATTCAATTTATTTGTCATTTTTCACTTATTTCAACTATTTGACATCGGAACACTTCATCTTTGTCAAACCGTTTTTTTTATCCTTGCAAAATAAATCAATTTTGTTTTTCATTTTTTACTTTTTTCAACATCTTAAGTTCATATTTAATACAGATTTTTCGATATAAGAATACTTCATTTTGTTTGAACAATTTTTTACCCTTGTAATAATTTTCAATTTTACATTTCATTTTTCACTTATTTCAGCATATTTAGTCCATATATAGACTTTATGATGTCAGCGCACTACATATGTGTCCAACAAATATTTTACCTTTGCAAAGATTTTCAATTATATTTTTCATTTATTTCAGCATCCTTAACCCATAAAAAGACTATAAGATGTCCATACACTTCATTATTGTATCATAATTTTCTTACCATCGCAAAAACTTTCAATTTTATTTTTCATTTTTCACTTATTTCAGCATCCTTAACCCATATAAAGACTATACGATGTCAACACACCTCATTTTTGTATAATACAATTTTTACCCTTGCAAATATTTTCAATTTTATTGTTTCATTTTCACTTATTTCAGCATCTTTAGCCGATCTAAAGACCATAAGATGTCAGAACACTTCATTTTTGCACAGCAAACTTTTTACCCTTTCAAAAATTTTCAATTTTATTTCTAATTTTGAACTAGCATATTCACTATTGTACAATAGCATGTTCACTATTGTTCAGTAACATGTCCACTATTATTCTATACTGTGTTCACCATTGTTCAGTACCATGTTCACTTATGTTCAGTAGCATGTTCACTATTGTTTAGTAGCATGTTTACTACTGTTCAGTAGCATGTTCACTATTGTTCAGTAGCATGTTCATTAATGTTCAGTAGCTTGTCCACTTTTACTCAGTAGCATGTTCACCATTGTTCAGTAGCATGTTCGCTAATGTTCAGAAGCACGTTCACTATTGTTTAGTAGCATGTTCACTATTATTCACTAGCATGTTCACTATTGTTCACTAATGTTCAGTAGCATGTTCACTAATGTTCAGTAGCATGTTCACTTATGGTCAGTAGCATGTTCACTATGTGTGGTACATATTCAGAGATGTTCACCAAATTGATGTTTTGCATTATTTATTATTTAATAGTGATACTTTGAAAATATTAGCATTTAACTTTTAGTAATAGAGAAGTCAACATGCCTCATAGTTCTTCCTATTCATGCGAGTGTGGGAAGACATTCAGTCATGCAACCAGCATGTATCGTCATAAGAGAATAGATCACGGACCTAAAAAACGTATCATGGCGCCATCTTGCGAACGGCATCATGGGGGATTTTATTCAATGACAAACTCGGCAGCTAACCCATGCAATGGTGATAGGACAAAGATGCTTGACCATCCCTTTACGATGATGGTGGCTGGTCCAACAGGTTCGGGCAAGTCAACCTATGTCAGAGAACTCATAGAAAATATGGAGAAAAAGATAACCCCTCCCCCACAACGGATAATTTGGTGCTTCGGACAGTGGCAGCCCATGTACGTCGAAATAAAGACCCGCTTTCCAAATATAGAATTTATCATGGGAATTCCAGAGTCATTGGGTGACCAAAGTTTCCTGGATGTCAATGTTAGAAATCTAATCATTTTCGACGATCTAATGGCTGATATGACTAAAGATAAGCGAATATCTGAGCTCTACACTAAGGGTTCTCACCATAGAAATTTGAGTGTCATCTGTCTGATGCAGAATCTATTTCACCATGGTCGTGAAAGCAGAACTATGAGCCTAAACTGCCACTACATAGTGTTGTATAAAAATCCTAGGGATCGCCAACAGGTGGCCGTATTAGCCCATCAGATGTATCCTGGAAATTCGAAGAAATTATTGAATGCTTACGAAAAGGCTACTCAACACCCATATGGACATCTACTGGTTGATCTGAAACAAGAAACTCCCGAAAATATGAGATTGTACGATGCTGATGCAGCTACTATTGAACAACCCAGAGGCGCCTCTTCGGCACTTTATTCTCACGGCAAAGAGGACCAAATACCAATGTATAGCACAATACCGTGTAATAGCGTAGATATAAGTAGAGGCGTAAATTTAAATCAAGAACCATTCGATAATATCAACCGATCAAACTTAAGTACAACACCCATCGATCCAGAATCAAAGATGAATCCGAGTATGCACTTTATGGCGAATCAAGCCATGTACAACAGAATGAATCCAAGTATGGGCTACACGATGAACAATCAACCTAACATACCTGCCACGACAATGTCTACCCCTCATTGTACGGATTGTGGTGTAGTGCTGTTGTCACCACTCGACATGAGGGAACACAGAAGGCATTGTCCCGAATTGAGGGAAAGTGATGAAAACGATGTCATGAGATGTGATTTCCATACTGAAGAATTGAAGGATAATGTAACTTTGAATCAATTAAAGATAAAGTCATAGATGAGCTACAAGATGATTGGGATGAACTGGTCGAGAAGTATAAAGAAAGAGGAATGTCATCCAAAAAAGCGGTTGAAAGAGTCAGACAGAAATCTGTGTTTGGTGCCAGACAGCTATTCTTGAAACACTATGGAGAGCTTCTGTCATATATACTGGGGTTAAGGTACAGTGAAGTTCATCGTGATATTATGGATGAAGTGGAGGCACTATTGGCGAAAGGCATGACTCAATCAAGAGCAGTCAAGAAAACACTGAACAAATATTCATATTTGGCTGGAGAATTGTTCGCTGATGATGAATCTACAAGTGAAGAGTCCAGTGATGAACAACAACAACAATCAGATAATGAAAAACATTCTACAAGCGAAGATGTATCTGATAGCGAGAGAAATGAGGACAATCGATGATATACCCAGCAAACTGGATCTAAAAGAAACACATTGTACGAGTATTAGTAAATAAATAAATAAATGTTTTTGCTTAAATTAATCTACCCTCTTTTAGAATTATAGAGAGCTACCTCTGATGTATTGGATATACACTCCCTTCCACAATGCTATTTTACAAGCCAATTCTCCCTTTTATGTAAGAAAGTTATTTATTATGATATAATGAATGCTTCTTATAATAACAAAACTAGAAAAATGTACATTTATCACTGTTTTATTGCCTAATTCAAAATAGAAAAAATGACAATTATATCAGTCCTATTTCATTTTCCTCCCCCTCGCAGGGATACCTGGTGGTCTATACAAGTCCAATCTGGTTTTTCTAATGTTTTTCTTCTTAAACACTGCTTTGGCAACAGCATCTTTACGCGGTTTCTTAAGGTTGTACACCTTAGTATGATAGGGATCATTTTCTTCCACCTTCTTCTTTTGATGCTCTATTTGGGCTTTAGCTCTGTCAACAACTGCTTGCATCGGAGATACCACCCGAACGGGTTCTTTGATGGCGCTGACAGGTACGTAGCTCGCACGATTTTTTCCGAAGCCTACTTGCGTCGACAGTCTATTCTCTCTGGCTGCTTTGATTAACCTGTGCCACTTTTCCGCGATGTCTACATAGGGTACCAGCTTCATGGTCCTGTGATGTCTATAGTAATGTGAACGGGGAAGAAATGCGTTGAAACTACTATCAGCCCAGGGCCGTCAGATGGGGGGGTGCGATGGGTGCGACCGCACCCCCTTTGTCACCCCCCCAAAATAAATTTGAAAAAAAAAAAATTTTTTTGTAATTTTTTTTTGTAATTTTTTTTTCATTGACTCATACACTTTGAAAGTACCCAGAAAGCACCAAATAGCATCTTAAAATTGTAAAACTTTCTAGGGGTATTGGCCACCCCTCACACCCCCCAAAACAATGGAAAAGTTCTAAATTTATTTTAGAGTTTTGTCTCAGACACTGCCCAGATATCATCAAATAGCTCCTTGATATAGTTTGTGTTTCTGGGGGACTTACTCCCCCTCTTGCATCTTGCACTTGCATAGCCCCCCCCCCCCCCTCTGGCGCCCCCCCCCCCCCCCAAGAAAAATGTGATTTTCTCAAATTCTTTAATTGACTCGTACACTTTAAAAGTGCCCAGAAAGCACCAAATAGCGTTGTAAAATTGTAAAATTTTCTAGGGGGAGTGGGCCACCCCTCACACCCCAAACAAAACAATGGTAAAGTTCTGAATTTGTTTTATGTATTGTCTCAGACACTTTTAAATTGCCCAGACATCATCAAATAGCACCTTGATATGGTCAATGTTTCTGGGGGACGACCCCTTGCACTGGCACCCCACCCCACTCCACCCTCTCATCCTCTTTGACACCCCCAAAAGAATTTGAAAACAATTCACATTTTTCTTATTGACTCATAACGCACAGGCGTACCAGATGGTTGCAAATTCGCTCCAAATACAACCAAATTTCAAAATTTTCCTGGGGAGGAAAAACCCCAGACCCCCCTGAATGCTCTTAATCCCGTGGTGGTGGCGTACTACTTAGAAACTTACACTTTGAAAGTGCCCAGAAAGCACCAAATAGCATCTCAAAACTGTAAAATTTTCTAGGGGGAGTGGACCACTCCTCACCCCCCCCCCCCCCCACAAAACAATTGGAACGTTTGGAAGTTGCATGCATTTGTTAATTCCAAACCAATATAGGGAGTAACTGACCCCCCCCCCCCCCCCCTCTGTCTTACGCGATTTGATTTACGCGGCAAAAAATGACAATTTTATATTCTCTTTAGTAAGCTAAAAACCGCACCCCCCTTGGAGAAAAGTGTCTTACGGGCCTGCAGCCTTATATATAATATTATATTGAGGAATCGAATTTTGAACTTTCTGTACTTAATCACACTGACATCTATTTATATCATTGCGGAAGTTAACTATGACATCACTCTCGACGTTCGAGAATCGTCTGGCTGGAAGGTGGTGCAAGTGACGTGCCAGAACGTGTAGAATTTCAGATTTTTTCAAGGAGGATTGGAAGCCAGGGTTCCAACTCGATATTCTTTAATCTCCACGCATGCGTCATTTGCTATTCGTGTCTGTATAATTTGTACGACTGCATGGAGAATGACCCGATACTCTCCAACAAAGCTATCGCTAGGTGATTGTTTTGCAGAATATCGGTGTTGCATTCTGGGAGCCAATCCTCCTTGAGATTTTTTTATCCATTTAATGAGACAATAGTTCGTCTTTAAATTCATATGTGAACGCATTGTCTAGATGGGCAAAACAGCCAGGATAGACATTGAGTGACGTAGGCTGTCGTATTATGTTAATGTGGGTTGCTTTGACCTCCGGATTTCCTGTTGTGATGGTATTTCCCATACTTCGCTAACAAAAAACCGAGCATGTAGTGTACATACGTAGAACTATCTATATTTTAAATGTTTGCTGTCATTTCCCGTGTCATTTAATGTAGATATATCCATTTCACTATAGGGATTTTCAATCCATAGAAACGCTGACTATTGCTTGTAAAATTTAAGTAAGTATCTTCCATTTTATCGAGTCTAAACAACAATACATCTTAGACTAGTCATATGCATCATGATAATCCATGACATCTCATTTCTTCTCAGCCCTGAGATGCCATGATATAATGAGCTTGATTTGGCGATCCAGGAGAGCCCAAAATTGAGGATTTTTGAGATCTTTCATCCCAGCTCATATTTCATTTAATTGGGGTCATTAAACTTGTGTACACGTGCCTGTGCTACTATCTGCTGTTAAATACAATGCTTATTATGTAATGTATTGACATTAGGTAAATGATTACATGATAACTATCATACTTATTGACTGTTATAACTCTTCCCATCTGATGTGCTCAGATCACAGAATATGCCTCATAATATCAGAGCATGTTTCAGGTGAAACAGAAAGATGCTATGAGTATCAGAATGAGTCATATGTGAAAGAATTGTCTTGATTCTTTTCTACATGAATCTCGCCACTTCGTTAAGGATTCTTTATTTTTGTAAAATATCCGATTTCTTCAGAACTTTATAACACATTATTGTCCCGTTGTTGTAAGAGTATATACTTATTTTACTGATTTTGAACTGAGAACTGGGCCCTAAATAGTTACATTTGAGTAATTAATCTTAAAATATATGTCAAGAATGATCAAATAGTTTTTGTGTTTAGCTAGCTTATACATCAATAGTTTAGAGAATACACGAGGAATCGAATACTCTGAAACGCTTTACAAACGATTTGCCTATTCAAAATAAAAGCAAAAGTATCCTATTATTTCTTTAAAAATGACAGAGAATTTCGCATGCCTAGCTTTACGACTTTGTTCCATTGCCTAATTTTGAAATGTAGAAAGTAAAGTCCATAGTTTGACGGGGTTACGGAAGTGTGGGGGTGTAGGAAATCTCGTATTTCATCCAGCGTTGGAGAATACGTTCGAGAAACGTTGAACATTATCATCCAGTAGGTCCTAATCCTAGGTGCCTAATTTTGGAATGTATAAAGTAAAGTCCATAGTTTGACGGGGTTACGGAAGTGTGGGGGTGTAGGAAATCTTGTATTTCATCCGGCGTCGGAGAATACGTTCGAGAAACGTTGGTAGTATGTTGGTTTGTGACATACAGATTCCTTGCTGTGATGGGGAAACAAAGAACATATGTACTAACAACGTTTCTATCTATTTCCATATTCATTATAATGAGTGCCAAACCTCTATTCATTTTGTATTTTATAATCTGTCACTTTTTATAGAGGTAATAGGTAACAGATTAATCATTTGTCATTTGGTTTTATTATCTTATCAATTGTCTCTGAAAGTCAACCGAACGATCGGAGAGTATCAATCATCCACAGAACACTGACGTCTAAAAGACGTTTGGATATCGTCTAAACGCTTGAGAATCGTTTTACTTTTATGAAACTGTATCATTCGTATTTGACCAATCAGAGCGTCTCGTCCGAGAAAATTCACACTGACCTCAGTCCGGAAGTCAAGCGACCAATCAGTCATCCACGGAAGTCAAAGGTTCGGGAAACGTTAGGGAATCCCGTATTACGTTGGGGTACGATCGAGAAACGTTGGATCCACAGAGGTTAAACTCTGACGTCACTAAACGTTCGGCAATCGTCTGTGGTCAAAGTTCGTGCCTGATTTGGTGCCTGATTTGGTGCCTAAAATTGCATTATCATTTACTCGGACTATTACTTCTGTCGTTTTTATCCACCTTTCCATTCTGAATTCATCTGAGTCTCTCTTTATCTAAAGCTTTCTATTCTATTGATATTGTTCGCGAATATACCCCAGATGAAATGTTGACTTTATTCACAGTTTATAGAAGGCGTGAATGCAGTCATGTTCGAATTTTTCATATGACTTTTAGCAACCGAACCATTTCCCATCGGTTTACATGAGTTCTACCATTTTTTTAAATTCATCAAATTTGACATCAATTTTTGACCTTTTGTATCGGAGAGAATAAATTGAAAATCTTCTGAAATATAGACAACAAGATCAAGGTACATTTCCACTTACATTATCAGTTTTTCTTTCGTTTCGGACTAAGCAAATAGAGTTCAAACACACATGGGTTTAACATGTAAACCTATGAGGAAAAAGATTGGTCGTTAACTTTTTTGCGGTATATTTCATATTAACTCTTCGACAACAAGACAGTACCAAGAACGTTCAGGAATCTACAAGATGAACTCCTCTTTCGGAAGCATCATGTGATGTCCAGTCGTCCTTTAGCACACATGGACTTATCAACTTTGTGCTTTCCTTTATTCCTATGTGTTTGCCATCTTGATCCATCTAGCCACAAAGGAAAACACTGAATGAATATATTGAAGGAATGTGCAAAATGAATGGGCTGAAGCGATACATTGGTTAAATACACTAAAATAAAACACAAGAGGAAAACATTGAAAAGATACATTTATAGCCCACATACACTCATGGGTCGAGCTGGGACCTCCATGAAGTTTCACATTGCATGGGATGTCTTAGGACTTTGCAATGACCTCATCGGAATTAATATGTCCATTCATTCCATGGGGCATCGTGGACCTTTTAATCACGTGGCATGCCAAATGACTTGTGTATCAAAGTGTTACACTTCATGAATTCATTAATTTATTAGAATATAACTATGAATTGTAAAATAAATTAAATACCTGTTCTGTCAAAATCATCGTAGGAAAGTCCAGGAATTGTAACCTGAGCTCTCGTACCATTACGATCAACCTTCACGGGCATATTGAGAATCCTAACAAATAAAAATACATTAATGTTAAACTAGTGCTGCAGTAAATATTTCTGAATATACAATGTAATTGCCGAGAGTACACTTGTCTTCACATTGCTGTTCTCTGGAATCATATTTGTACTTCCTATATGCTTTTCATAAAAGCTGATTCGGCAAAAAACGCCAGATGTAGTATATATATAAGTAAGTTATATCATGCAAAATGACAAGGTTTACGCTGGATCTACATCATACACATTGCCATAGGCTGAGGTGAGGTCGATAGAAATGATTTTTAAATAAAGATGGCATGGTAATCGATCTGTGTTTATTTACAATTCTCTTCTGCTGATGCTACCATCTTTATATCGGCCCAAGAAACATAAGCATTAGCAAGGAGCAGATCAAGTTGCCGAAGATGGTGATTGCGAGTCAAATCAATGATGAAATCCTTAGTCGAATGGTTCCCGAGGCCTGAACAAGCTGGTAAAGAAGCCGATGGCACCCCAGAGGGTCGACTTAAAGCCTGCTGATTGAAAGCGGTTCAAGGGGTGGAGCCCTTGAGATTTTTCAACCCATGTTTGCGACCTCCCCAACCCTCCATCTCTTGAGTCTTGACTCCTGGATACGTCACTCCATCGTACATCTCAGGGTTTGTTTACAGCAATCTAATGTCGGTAGGGCCCTACTGCACTAGTTAGACAACATGTGCATGCAATGTTGTGATTATAAGCTAAAAGTTCTAATAACCAAGTAAACAAGTCTAATGTATACATCTACTGAAAACTGATCTGCTTGGAGCTTTATAATTTACATATATCTAATAAGCTTACCTCGTCATATTGGCCAATCTTCTCTGGACTTGAGCCATTTTTGACTTTGACTAGTATCAAAGGCGGGATCAAAGGTTACTTCCGGTTCAACTAAGAGTACATCATGGAGAGATGGATTTCTCGCCTTTTCAGGTAAATATGCACATGTATACCAATAATAACAACATTGGATTAAGTATAAATGGCTTTCTAAAACTTATGCATGTATCAAAGCTTTCAAATGCAACATACAGGAGACCAATCGATTGTTTTACGTACATTTAGTAAATGATTATTTCCTATGTTATATTCATTTCGTCCAGTACAGCAAATTATCGTTATGACCCGGGAATATATAAAGAACAGATTTTGTTTGTAAGCTCATTGAAGACATTAATCTTCATGATTAACTTGATTTTGATTATTGAGTATTAGAAAGCATTCGAGCTTTCTGATTGGTCGGAAAAATTAATCTAAGATAGCATATTATTGAACTTTCTAGTGTACGTCCAGTTGTGTTAAGCAACCCAGCAAAAAATTGTGCTTCCAAATTTACTCCCCATGTCTAGTTCATGTCCATAGTTCAACGCAAATCATTTGTTTAACCAGGATAGTGAATGTCCCTATTACAACTGACAAGTCTGGGCTGAGGACGGTTATAAAGATGCTAGTACTATCTTACGATGACTTTGACAGAGCAGGTACTTTACTGTAAATTGTATTATCCCAGTCGTATCTAATTAATCTGAGCTATATTCCATGTAACAGGTTATCAACATTATTCGAAATAAATTCGAAACTGGGCTCATTTCATACAATAGAAATATAAAATCCAATGATTTACTGCACTTCGTTTATTTTAACGCAAAAAGTAGCACACTTTTATGCAAAGGCTATCTTCGTAATACTAACAGAATTATGCTTGAATGATAATCCACTGGATAAATAAAAACGATAGATCATTCAATTTCAATTAATACAATACAACATTGGGCAAGTAAAGGATTGGTATCGATATGGAGAACTGAATTCAACAATGTTTTTCTCTTAAACCAATCATTGGAAACATTCTGTAAAAAACACGTTATTTTATGTTATTTGACTGATTGACAATAATTTAATGCGAAAATTATTTAGAAATATTTTATATAACTGTTTCCGTTGGAACAAAATAGCATATACAACATGTTTTTAGACCTCTCAATATTATAGTTATACAAAGGAATTTTTGGTTGATTTTAAAAAAGTATTCAAAAAATTAAAACAAAATCCCCCCAAAATAGCTAAAAATCAAGATAAACCTTTTATTTCGTTATCAAGATACTCTTTTAAAATCAACCAAAATTTCCTTTGTACAATTACAATATTGAGAGACCTAAACATGTTGTGTTTATGTCATTTTGTTCCAATGAGGTTCGGAAAGATGTTTCATTTCACTCAGGAAACATGATACCAAATACAAAACAAGTGTTTGATGTGTTTTCTAAAACAATATAGATGAAAGTATATATATATTTTTCAAGTTATATCGTTACCATTCAAAAGATGACCATTAAATTGACGATGTGTTAAATTTTTAGATTTTTTATGACTGGTTAAAGAGAAACGTGTGTTCAAAAAGTTTTCCATATCGATACCACTCCTTTACTCTATATCTGTTCTATTAATAAAATCAAGGTGGCAAAAATCCTATTTGGAAATTAATCAAAAAAGATGTTGACAGAAATAACTAAATGGACAATTGGTCACATCTTGGCTAGACATTTAGAGGGCCCGTTACCCCAGTACAGAGAAAGTAAATGTTTGTTATGTTTAAACAAAACAGGGTACATTTCTTATTTCAATAGTACAAGTACAATAACAAATATAAAAAAAGATATCACTAACGTAGAAAATTGCTGAAATGTAAATGTGTCTTATCGTTTTACTGTATGTGCATTGAAATAAGAAATTGTAGACGTTAGGATTCCTTCATATAACATGAATACCGTTCTCTTTGAAATTTGAGATATGTATCCGGTGGTATATCATCCATCATCCGTGAAAGGTTCTGCTAGTGTGTTGATAGTCGAAATATGAAACTGATAATTCTTGACCAACCCTGTATTGCGTAATCTCTTCCGATTTTAATTTTTTCTTAGCGGGGTTTCTTCTAAAATACAATAATTATACATGTTTATATCTTCTGCTATTTCTAGGTAATGTCAATGTATGGCGTATAGCAAGGCTTGGGGAAGTATCTCGTATGATGTTCATATCAAGGCTCGTAGCGGCAGGTTCAACAGAAGGAGCATGTTTTGAAAATAACCTTGCTTTTCTTGTTTCAACAACGTACACATTCACGCGAGCTTATCACAAAGAGATGCGAACTATATCATTTCCTTTTACGTTAATTGGATCGATCGGATCAGTTGGAAGAAGTTCATTTGAATTTGTCTCTACATTTGAGAGTGATGCTACAAATGCAAAACTTGTAACTTGTTCTGCGAAACTTGCTTTGGTTGATCCTTCAACACGACGTTCAACTGAAATACCCAAAGATATCATTAACAGGATTAAGGCGACGTTTGACCTTGACCCTCCTCAGAAGATAGAACCAGTAGAAAGGCCAAAAGACATTCATGTATTCAACTTGGAAATCATAGTTCAGAGTAGCGACCTCGATATGAATATGCATAGCAACCATTCTGCATACACGAGATTTTGCTGTGACGCTGCAGCTGCCGCCATTGCAAACAAGGCATTTAAGAACTTTGAGATGGATATTTGTCGTTATGAGATTAAGTCCATGAGTAACTTGTTCAAAGGTGAAAGTCGCGCAAATGATGTATTAACTGTCTTCACGTGGGAAGACAATTCTGAGAGAAAAACAATCCACTTTGAAATTATAAAGAATGACAACCCTATATTTCACAGCACAATGGTGTACTATAGTGATAATGAGATATCAAAATTGTAATAATTTCACAAGATACAACATATGATGAGTGAAATATAACATGTTTCATCTCTGTGTTCTCTTGTTACAGCGCAAAATTATTGTTTAGCGTTTTGAAGCAGGACATCAAAGACGTTTAAAAAATGAAACGATTGTATGCTGACGATTATATTTCATATTCCATTAAATGATAAAATACATAAAGTTTAATTGAATTCCGTCTATTTTCAGATACACGAAAAGTACACATTTTTAACAGTTATTTGTCTTTAATTATTAGTAAGATCAATGCAAAAAGTGTTTTAATTTGCCAACATATTAGAAAACTAAAAATGAAAAAACATCAACATTCAACAATAATTGAGACTGAATGAAATATGAACTTTTTTCAGGTCGGTATGTGAAAATCATTCTTTGACTTAGAAATATTTCACAAGCTCTCAAAACGTAATGGGCCAGATGGGGGTTGATCCATTATTTGTCTATCATTTATGTGATTTATGGTACTGGTACTAAAATATTCTGTATTACTGCATAGCTCAAAACCCATATTATTATTTGAACACAAAGCACAAATCAACGTCAATTTCAACAAATCATGTTATTTCCCCATGATATTTTCTTCATAAATTTATAATACAGCATTAGTATTATTGATGATTATGAGTACATTTCCCGCTAAACACTCAAGTATTTTACCATTTCCTGTTTCATGAACACAGTGTTATTCCAAGGGGCTATATCTTGGAAATTAGAGGTCAGTGTTACCTCATTTTTGAATTGTATCTCAAAACAAAGTCGTGTGTATATTAGACATACTCTTAATAAATCGATGTACATAGAGTCACTCGCCATGCTTTATGTAATTTTGGTTACAATATTGATGAAGTTGAAATCCGAACAATAATTCTATACTTCAAAAACGATGACCTTATTTGAAAAACCTTTTTACAAATATATCGATCCACTCGCGATTTCAAGTTGGATGTTTTTTAACTGTCGGGTAATGACATTTAACCCTAAAGAGCCTCCATGCTATGAAAACCATCTTACTTACATTCTTACTGTCTGTCAATTTCAAAATCGATGTAGCATTTTGATATAATTATGTTCTTCAATGGGCATATGATCACACTTTTATAACCAACCAAGTATCATTCTCTTTCAAAATCCAATAAATAATCATGTAAGATAAACTATGTGAAATACACAACCATGCACTAGAACTCTCCAGTCTACTTTGATTTTTACTTGTTTCCCCATCAAGAAATTTATGAAAATAATTATCCCTATTTGGGTAAAAATATTTGATGGTGATGGATAAGTTAAATCAAGTCTGGAAATTTTTCTTGAGAAAACAATTACTATAATTAAATTGCGCCAAAAATGGGTTGATTACATTTTGAATGCATATGGTCAAAATATTATCGGATTAGTTATCGTAAAATTTTGATGGATTTAACGTTCACAATAAATGTATTTAAACTTACTTACAGGTAAATCTTAATTATTCATAGGCAAACTGACCAATCAATGAACAGCTTTGACACGCAATTGAGTCACGGTTCCACAAATGAATTTCTATTAAAATAGTACTGCAGTAATGAGTTCTGCATAGATGGTAAATGAACTCAATTAACATTTTATTTAATTATTCATTTTGAAAATGGCTTTAGAACATAATGAAAACCTGGACATTCAAATGGCACAAACGGAATCGTTATTTACAGCCGATCATTCTGAACAAGAAAATCTAGGATTGAACAATACTCCGCCTCAAAAAGATATTCGAGACGATATTGAAGCATCTGGTTACATAGAAGAGGAGCAGTTGATCCATGGACAAACTATAGGGACTGAAGATAATTTAAACATAACTAAGGAACATTTCCAAGTTGTCTGCAGCAATTCAGATGTCTCAACAAGTAAGGCATTCTTTATGTTCCATTTCATTTTATCATATTTTATCTCTCCAAGTCAAGTGCATTATATATATAGTTGTAAACCCGAAAAGGGTTGTAACAGTCATTAAAACAAAATCATATCGTATCCTTGGAATGATTCTGATTTATCCATAAAATATTCCATTTTCGCCAATTTTTCCCAAAAAATAATTTTCCCTATAATTTCTTAAATAGTATACTTCAAAATTCACATATCCTATACAAGGCGTAAAGGAAAAATAAATACCCACGACTCCTGTGCTCACACAATAAACCAAGAATCAAAATGTGACATTTTGACATTAAAATTGCCAATCTCTTGTAAAAAAGAGGACCCGGAAATGGACATGATAGTTCTAAACTAACAAAAAACCTACCTCTTCAAAAGCTGTACGACGGGACGTAATGCATATTTATTTTTATACATAATTTATGCCTGTAGCAACTTGCAAGCATCATTTTGGGAAATTGCAATTTAATGACAAGTGGATATCACCCAGGTATTAATGACAAATATAAAATGAATGTGTAAACATGTGTTTACAAACAAAATGAATATGATAAAATGTGTGGGTTTACGTCAATATCTCGAAAACCGTGAGGACTTGGGAGAAGGGAAATGGCGATGACAGGTTGATTAGATACTGCCAATGTTAGCGGACGAACCAATAGCCTGGCTCACTGTGTGGAACAAAGAGCAACATTTATAGATAGGCGCATTTTATCAATTTTGGAATCTTTAAGAAATACCAAATTGCTTTAACTTGTAAATTGATATGTGTTTGTGTGTTTAAACAGTTGAATCTCATAGATATTAAAAACAAGCATAGGTTCATTATTGAATTTTACTCAATGTAAAATCAATCTATTTAATTCGTAACATTTTTTATGAATTTATATCTGTTGTCTAATTTTCTTTGAACGCTCTTCAGAAAATCCGAGAAGAGGTCTTATTTCAATATAATATGTTTGTTGAATTGAATACATATACATTTCAGATGAAGTTACCGTGGGGAACGCTGGTGCCTCGGAATTAGCGGGTCCTACACAATCACAAATGCCTCAGTCCGACCCGCCTGCTTTAAACCAGCACGATACATTAGGATTGGCAGCATCTTCTCCATGCGGTGAGCAACAGGATCCTCCCCAGTTAGAGCCAAACGATGCACATCAAAGTCAATACATTGACACTACCAGTCAACAGACTCAGTCAGCACCACAATATATCCCCTGTGCAGATACAGATGATGCATTAACAGGGACCACCGGGCACTTAGGACATCAGTTGCAGCAGACATCAGCGCCCTCTGAAGGGGACCAAATATCAACAAGTTTACAACAAGCACAACCTGAATTCGAACTTGATTCCTCGCAAGACCTCAGCGACGCTGATCTTAGCGAAGATGCAACAGGGGACAGCGACGGAGTTCTGTCCGGTCTCAACTTCGATGATGATAAGTATATTACGAGTAAAAAACAGCGGCGGAACAGAACGACATTCACGGTTGAACAGCTGAGGGAACTGGAGGGCGTTTTTCAACACACACATTACCCCGACTGTACCTTAAGAGAACAAATCGCCGACAAAGTGAAACTGACTGAGGCCAGAGTACAGGTAAATTTCGATTCAATAGTTTCTTAAACGCAAAAAAGTATAAATCAAATTGATTGCAGTGAAAACTCCTAATTGAGTGTGTCAATTACAGATTTAAATGACAATGACAATCAACATATTTCTTTTTGCAATTGAATTGGCTAATGTGCATTTGAATCTATTTGACTTGTTGCAAACTATTTCTACAATGTTCAATTCCTCACAGTTCAAATGGTTAAAAAGTTTAAAAGTGCTCTAGTCTTGCTCGAGATGTATGCTAAAATAAGATGTATGCATGTTCCGTATGTTTTTTGATTTTTGGAAAATGAATGACAATGAATATTATAAAAGATACTGAATTGTAAACAAAAACAGTGTCGTAACTTTGATGACTGTATTATAATTGCTGTAACATATTTATCCCTGAAATAAAAAGCAAATAAAACCAAATGTTATAAATGATAGACATTGAATCATTTTTGAAAACTCTGCTTTTGCAGGACACTTAAGTAATATAATATCAAATGAACCTGAACGGGTTTATTTAGATGACATTTTCAAATGTCGTTTTTATGTTATAGTCCAACTATAACTCAAAAAGTGTCGACATCTAAAACAACAAATACTGTATATTGAACCAATTTGCATTTTTAATTCAACATATTATTTCGAGCTATTAAACATTTTGCAATCAGCCGGGAAAATATTGAACTTAAACGTATAAGGAGATTTATTAGGTTCCATCAGTGAGGTCTCTAACAGTGGATTAGTATTTGAAAAGCGGTCGTAATGGATTAACTCCCGCTTAATGTCAATTCATTTACTCACACTCCTGGCTTACGAGATTATAATTTTAGTTTATGTTCATTGTCGATATATTTCCTCAGATGATCGTAAGAATCGTGCAACTGACCCATAAAGTTATACAACGAGCCTAACACCGATTTTTTGTCTTTGAATATTTTACATTTGAACATGAACTAATGGAAGCACATCATATTCATCATTTCTTTTAATTTTGTGATATGCTGCACCTTAACTGCAAAATTTAATTGAATGTAAGAATGTAGCTTTCGAAGAATACAATTCAACCTGTAGCAGATGTCATTTCAATTCTTGTAATTATAACAAATACATAGCGCACATAACCTATTTGATTTCCAATGAATTGTTCAAAAAGGTTGAAAGGTCAAAAGGCACTTGCAATATTTATCTTCTATTGTTTTTTGTGATAAACATTTGGTTTCTACAAAAAAGGAATCATTATAAGTAGATCAAAGAAAATGTTTTGAGAATGTGATGATTACCTCATAATATCACAGAAAAAGATGCAAACAAGACAACAACAAAACAATATCTAAAAAAACTTTTAAAGTACATGAAATAGAATTATAAAAACATGTTCAAAGTTCAAACAAGTAACAAACACATTACAAGGGGTCTTTAATTCTACTGTCATGGAAACAGTTGTGACCTCATTGCAGACTTATTTGCCCTGCTTTTTATGTCACATAAAGTCACGCGTGAAAGTATTCAATATTCGTCATTATTTAATGCCCGGGGCAAGGAGGATTGGCTCCCAGAATGCAACACCGATATTCTGCAAAACAATCACCTAGCGATAGCTTTGTTGGAGAGTATCGGGTCATTCTCCATGCAGTCGTACAAATTATACAGACACGAATAGCAAATGACGCATGCGTGGAGATTAAAGAATATCGAGTTGGAACCCTGGCTTCCAATCCTCCTTGTGCCCGGGGGATAAATATCAGTCGGCCTTTTAGTTCATTTTCAAATTCACTGAATTATTTTTAACGATATCAATTTCTGCCGTAGGTCCCTGAGTACAATCTGGTTTAAGAAAAGCAACATCACTAGACGTTATCCTATTTTCTTATTTCTACAGTCTCTAATTGGCTTGTCCCTCGTAAATTAAGCTGTTTTTTGTTGATTTTGACCAATTTGTAGTTTGATCGGCTTTAGGGGTTGTAATGGGTGTTTAATGAAGCCCAATCTATAGAAAATGGAAGAGAATACATTGAATAAGCCGCATAGTTGGATCTTGCTGTGAGTCTGTAAGCTTGATTGGATCATCTTAATGTTTGGCAAGTCTTTTCTACTCCATTACTATAGCTATGGGATTACCAGTTCTATCTTGATTCTAGCAACTTGTACAATTATGTAACACTGGCGTTCTTTTTATGGAACACTTACTTAAACCAAAGGGTTAACAGAATCGTTCAGAAAAGAAAATGGATTAGTTAAAAAGCGTAAACCAAAAATCTGCTTAACTCATTCATAAACGACTGGTTTTATGTCCAAATCGTAAAAGAAAGGACAAATAATCGATTTTAAGAAAAAATATGTTGAAAACAAACACCAATATGTTCATTTTTACTTTGCAATCAGGTAGAAAATCTGTGGCATTTACTCAGTTCAGCGATCTGACACGCTGCGAACAAATAGCAGGAAATTCCGGAAAACAGTCCAATGAGATTACTTAGTCTAGCAAAATTTCAAAATCAGATTAATTATTCATATTTGCCCAACATGCATAATGAAAATAATCAAAAACGGTAATACATAATTCTATTCCATAAATAACAACAGACCCCAAGAGTGAATTGGGGAGCTTTTCTAGAAATATAGATTTTAATCAAGAAAATCCGCCTAAGAAAATTGTTTATTGAAAACTCTTTAATTTGGCTTTAGAAATAGAATAACCTGCACTCCCCGCTGTACTTTGTGGAACCTTGAATATAAACTCTAATCTGAATATTGGCAAATTGTTAGAAACTTAACAGAAAATTTCCGTGATAAAACAATTTTAGAATTTTTATTTCCTCCTTTTTATTTATAATACAAATATATAGCGAGTACATTTTACTACATAAACATATTACGCACTCTTTGAACAATCCTTGGCTTTTAAAATCATTGCATCATCGTCGTCATTTTTAAAATGTGAAATATAATATCATCGTCACCATTTCTAATTAGAGTCAAGTGCAACTCTTTCCGCATTTATAAAATTGCAGAGGCGTAGAAAATGCTCAGGTGTTTCTAAAAATGCTCAGGTAAAAATGCTCAGGTGTTTCTAATTCATCAGAGTTACAAATGTTATATTTTCTGTCACCACATTTTTTATTTCCAATTAGCGTTTGATTAGGTGGCATAAGACTATTGGCATGAACCCATTGAAAATGCTCTCAGTTTGACACCTTCAGATGGTATAACATTCAAATTCATTTCAGGTTTGGTTCCAAAACAGACGAGCAAAATGGCGAAAACAAGAGAAGTCAATGGCGAGGATGTACGAGATGTGGCGTCACAAGATGCAACAAGTGCCCGGATACCCACCGCTGATGCCACCCTACAGTAATGCTGGCATGCCAGGCATGTCAAGGCCGCCATCTTCAATGTTTGTCCCCCGTCTCCCCCTCTCAGTCCCTCCGATGTACCCACCAGGACAGTATCCCCCTGGGCCATCCGGGCCAACCAGATACAGCATGCCAAGTAAGCAAAACCATTGCATTATCTCATATCATACATTGACTCCTAGATGTGCCGAAATAATATTTAACGTTTTTGCTTCGAGCCTCATTTTTCAAAAATTAGTATCCATTTCTTTTGAAGATGAGTAAATCCATAAGCAAAACCATTGCTTTATCTCATATCATACACTGACTCCTAGATGTGCCGAAATAATATTCAACTTTTTTTGCTTTGAGCCTCATTTTTCAAAAATTAGTATCCATTTCTTTTGAAGATGAGTAAATCCATAAGCAAAACCATTGCATTATCTCATATCATACATTGACTCCTAGATGTGCCGAAATAATATTCAACTTTTTTTGCTTTGAGCCTCATTTTTCAAAAATTGGTATCCATTTGTTTTGAAGATGAGTCTAAGTTTTTAAAACAAAAACTCAAAATGTTTTCTATATAATATTTTCACCTGCACTTTCATCTTATTCACTTCCTCCCTGGCATATGATCAAAAAATGTTCGAATTCCCAATTCATTTTTTAAATTTACTTAGATGTTGCACTTATGAGACGTTTTGTTTATAACTAGCCGTACTCTAACATATCAAACGTTTTCCAGACGGTGGTCAACTTCAAAGTCAACTTCCAGGAGATGTTCCAAAAGTACGCCTTGAGCCATCTCCAGCCCGACATTATGAGGACGAGATGATGTCACGAAATCTTAAAGACAGTTTTATGATGAGCTCGAATCCAGCCCATGTGCCAAATAACATTATGAAGCCTATCTAGTCAAACGTGTGACGAGGAAGTTATGAAATGGCTTTCCATCAAAGAAACCGGAGTTTTGTAAAAAATACTGGTACATCGTTACTATACCCTATGTAAGTAGTGATCCATTCCGTGACACTGGGTTTGTTTAAATTACTACGAAATATAACTGATCATTTCTGTAAAAATGGTGACCTGACCCGATGGAAACAGATCCCAGATCCAATAATCTAGAATTTAAAAAGTTGGAACAACTTTTCTATTTTTACATTTGGCGAATGTAAACAACGGAGGTTACTTTGCTAAAGGCTTTTAACTCTTCTATCCATAGGTTTACAATTGGTTTCTGTACAAAGTACAATCAATCCCCTAGCTAGAGACTGGGCGCTGTTGTATCGCGCGCCAACTAGCTGTGAAACATTATCTCCATTTTCGTAGGATAAGGTCACCATTTCTACTGAAATGATCATTTCCGTTATTATTTTCAAAAACGCAGTGACACGGATAACATCACTTGCATAGGGAGTAAATGTCAGTATTTTGTGAGATTCGCTTCATGATCTCAAGTGATCTCATGATCTCTGATGCTGTTAATACAGCGTGTAAAGTGACATCTATATGACAGTTTACCACTTCTTCCAGGTGTAATAAAATCGAAGTGTTCAAAGTTATTGATAAGATGATACTTATATTAACATGTGTCATGTAAAATTACCCTTTATGAGAGGAAAATGTGATACCGTGTGGTATCTACTATATTATAGTATCGTGCGGTATCTACCTTATTAGTGTTTGCACTGGGTAATTTCAACTTTAAAATTACCTATTTTATAGGGTAATAGTTTTACATGACATCGTTGTTCGTATATATTACTGTTGAATACCAATCTTGCCATTTTTGTACATGTACGTTTTGTAAATAAATTTGCAAAAATAACTCTTTTCTATAAAATCGACTTATGACTGCTAGCACTGTTGAAGTATTCAAACATGAGAGAAACACAACCATGACCATTAACCACGAGACAATCTCACCAAAACTTCTGGAAATGAGAAAAGGAAATGATTTCTTATTTTGTCTGTATCTTATTGAGGACCTATTATATCATGGCTGTCCATTTTGTGATTCATTTGGAGTGTTTATACCAAATATGAATGTGAATGCCAACGAAAACTGCTTCACTTAACGGTTAGAAGAGGACACCTATGTTGGACTAACTTAGCAGTTTTATCCTGTAACATTAAATACCAGATAGAATGGACAATAACAAATTGCATATTAGATTAGGAAGATAAAACCTTTTTATCAATAACATGACTTGTGATGATTAAAATGAATCGAATGACACTTACATTTCTGGCAGTAAACTGTCATCACAAGACTTAAAAGAAGAAAACAATTAAGATCTGTGACATTTGCCGTGGACGTTTGTCCGGTCACTCATACTCTAAAGCCCCCCCCCCCCCCTCTAAACGGGTGCACCAATGACGGGGATTCTGACAGCAACCCTAGACAACCATTCCACGTGTGACATATTAGGACCGACTTTTGTTAAATTTGCATTCGTTTCATTTCAACAATTAAAAACGTTTTAAAGTGGTATTAAAATGATGATCTAAGGACGCTGCTAATAATTGGTTTACTAGGTTTGAAGTTTCCCACGTGATAAGAGATACAGAGTAACATAGTTTAAACATCGTGTTTACACATATTAATTTAACTATTGTTATCTCAGACATAAAACGTATAACATTATCAGTAGTCCGTTTTATAAGGAGTAAGCAGTCTCAAATGTCGATTTGCAGGATGCACATTTACTGATTGACGCTAATTAGCAGGACAATGAAAATGTTTCATAACCATAGAGTTACAACGTTTGTTCATGTGGCTATATTTATCCACCAATTTGTGTTCAGTAAGTACAATTTTTGTTCGCAATATGATAAAGATTATAACATGCTGTCTTCATTTGAAATAGCATTTACTTGTCATTACTTTACAGACTTTGAAATTTAAAATCTCATCATCAAGTTTGTTGAGCATTTTAAGATGTACTATGTTTCTTTAATACTTTTGTTTACTTGACATCTTAGCAATATTTTTTGCTTACCTTCACACAATTTGAACTTAGCATTTTTTACAGTATTTCCATTCTGATTTATCAGAGCCCCTCTTTACCTAACGCTTTTGCGATCTGAACTATTCCAAAAGGATAGTAAAAGCTGTGGATCCCACAATGCAGCATTTCCTTTGGAGGAGAGAACGTGTTAATCTGGAAAATGTTTGACAGGTTCTTTCCTCTAAAGTATAGTTGTAAAAGAAATATTACTGAGACATCTAATGTATTTCACATTTGAAACTGCTCCCCATCGGTTGACAGAAAATTTAAACATTAATGTTTTTGAAGACAATTAAAAAGACCCCATATATCTAGATCTCTAATACCTTAAGAGTTATATTGAAAACATAGTCACGCGATAAACCCTTGTGAGTCATACGGGGGGGGGGCAGATCCACAGTCTTGAAGCAATACTAGTAAATATCATCATGTCACTATACTATGTATACTATATCATGTCATTAAAAAGTTCAAAAAGAAATGGTATTTTTATTCCCAGCTTGATTTGATTTAAAACAGAAGTGAAAGTTAAATTATATCGTGTGGAATTAGTAAATGCTTGACAAATCTTTTGATTGTACTCCGTGATTATACCATCAATCATGAAATAAAGAATTTAATTTCCAACTGGAAGGCTAAAGGTCAATCTCACATAGATACTATATACCAGTGGGTGTAGGAGGTCTGCCAGACATTTCTTAAGAATAAGCATGATATCAAGGCTTCGCTACCAACCCTACAAACTGTCTTTCATGCATAAAATATAATATACTGCAAATATGCCATCGAATCACAGGGGACAATTTAGAGTAATGAAAATACTGTACAAACCTAGGATATATTTATCTGATTTTAGCACTCACAATGATGAGTTCTGTGTGTCGATACTACGGCCCCGCCCCCAAGCTACTTTTTATATATGTACTATAGTTGGCCCTTCCCTGTTTTTAAGGCATACTATAATACACTTCAGGTCGAGGACCAGTGTTATGAAAACAAAATACTCATCACTCAATATGAAATAACAAGCATTTTCAGTTGATTAATTGAAGATCTTATTATCTGTTTTTGAATGAATTCAAATAAACTAAACCTTCAATGGGCCTGAAGATCGATGGTACCAATCCTTGTACAAAAAGCCGCAAGTCACATAATATATAAGTTGATAGGTGAGTAGTCTAAGGACCCTTAAGAAATGATAACTAGGGGTTACGAGGCTATCTTATAAAATCGATGTCATCACGTGAGTTTACTATAACCATGTAGGTTTACTGAAAACATGATAATTGAACTTTTTATCATTATTTTATAATTCTGTTTATCAAAATCATTGCAAGTGGTTAAAGATTGCAACTAGTAATGTACTCCAAGTGATATATTTAGTTTTGATATGTAATGTTTTTTGTTAGAATAAGTGGCCACTTCTTAAAGTTCCAGTAAGCATATGATAAGTTTTGTTAACAAGCCACAAGTATAAGAAAGGTTTGTAGAAATATGTTTCTGTTGTCGCAAGGTCACTTGATTTCATAGTTGACCCGAGCCTTACAACAATTTTGCCTTCTCCCAGTACTATAGACATAATGTCTAACAAAAATCTTTTCTAATTTCTTAACGTAAATATTCTCTTTTTTAACTTCTTGAATTTGTTTATATTAATAATTTTAGACCAGCCTAAAAGTTAAAAGTTATTTGGTGCACATTAAAATCACGAATAACTATTATACATACTTTTCACAAACTTAACAACAAATCTTTCCCTGTCTACAATGGTCATTATTATTGAACAGTAATGTTTAATTGACGCTTCAATTAACAAGACATGAGCAGGATCCTTTTATTTCAGGTTCTGGGCAAATATGCCCGTATGGATGGGTTGAATCCCCTGAAAGTGATAGGTGCTACAAGTTCGACACTACACTCTCGAAGACCTGGAATGATGCACGGGATTCTTGCAGATACCAAGGAGGCAATTTAATCTCATTTAGAAATGCTCAAGAAAGGGTACGCCTGTAATTTCATGTTTCTAGAAGATATAACTTAAAGGTCCACTTTGGAAATTTGCAACATTTTTGGGCAAAATAAAGATTTACATTTAAATTTCATAGTATGTCCAATGTATTGATAAGAACCTTATCTTTCATTTGACACCAACAACAGCTCAAATGGACCACATCAAAGCTTACAATAAGTTATCAAAAAATATTTTCCATCTATCAAGCTTATATATCAAGTTTTCATCAATGTCATTGAAAGATGGCAAAGTTGTTTTTATTACATGATACATTCATTTTTATAGAAGTGTCGCCATCTTTTAAATCAGTAGTAATTTAAAACATGCACTTTGTTTAACATGTGCATGCATGTCTAATGATCTCTGAACTTCAAATGCTTTTTTCTATGTGAGTTTTTTTCTTGGTTCAATATTAAAGCAAATCAAACTTTGAGTCATATTTGAGCAAGTGTGTGAGTAATATGTTTCAATGATTGTTTTCTATTTTTCCTTCTAAATTAAGTATATTGCGCCTTTAAATATTCTAGTTTACTTTAACTGGCTTATACATTTACTATAAGAATCTTGTACTAAAAATAAGAAAGGTAATCATATTATTAAAGACCAGTGACGACATCAGTATTACACTGTGACTATCAAAACTGCTTTTCCTGGTGGTTAATCCATTGTGTCTTTATTTATTTCTTGTACAGTCGTGTATCATAAATTAAAAGTGCATCCTAATAATGCATCCATCATACAGGATTACATTTGGAATCAAGTGAAAAAGTTTGGGCAGAACTCGCAGCTACCGGATAGTTACTGGACGGGGCTCAACAGTATTAAAGACCCAAAGGTTTGGGAATGGTCAGATGGAACTCTTTTCGACAATGACACTGTGTAGGTCACAACAAATAATTATAATGTCATACGTGTACCTTTCTCCAAAGATCAAGTGAAAGTAGGGCAAATTTTGATCGGATGTAGAAAGTAATAATAATGTACTCACACCGGAATGGCCTGTCAACAGTAAAGTCAGATACTATTATTTCAAATTCAGATTCCGTTGTCATTGACGATATCGAAGACGCTATATTGTGGCGATTCAGGACCCAATTTGATCGAAATTGGGATTAGAGAGTTGAAGCGACGGTTATGTCCGCCATTTGTGACAACGGTATCTGACTTTACCGTTGTCAGGCTATTCCGGTGTGATACTATAGAGTAGATATTACATCCTCAACTAAGTTTACTGCACATAATTGTAAGATAGAAACCACCATTGGTTATTAGTAGAACAAAAACTAACATTTAAAGAAGAAAAACAATATAGCACAGGTTTCGTATCTACAAAATGCCTTTTTCAACAGAATAAAACGACAACCTATTTCAATACAGGGCGTATCAAAAAAACGCAACATGTAGTTACCTCGTAAAATCACAAAACTAGTGATGACTACATCAACTTTATTCAATGTGCCATATAGTCACGTCTCTCCTCTTTGCAATGATATGTCATTCATTCACATGTGGTAATAGTTGGGTGAGAAATCCTTGCACTGTGGGTCAAAATCGGCTCTGGACCAAGTTTTAGATATTGCAAAACTCAGTGCAAGGGCTAAGTGCCAATGGAAGTTCCCCTGACTTGAATTGTTGTGACTTTTTCTTTTGGAGCTATCGCAGGAGCATCTGTGCTCACATTTCCTCCACCAGATATTGCAAAACCTCGAGAAAGAATTGCATTGGGCTCCGTACACTGACTTTTGTGATGTTTATAACTTGGTCCCAAGGTAATTTTGGCCCACTTTGCAAATGGAATGATTACTCGCCCAACCATGACCACATATCAATGAATGATATATCATTGTAAAGAGGAGACACATGGCTTAATGGAGCATTGAATGAAATCAATGCTGTTATCACTGGTTTTGTGCTTTTTGTTGCGTTTTTTTATACGCACTGTAGTACGTTCAGCTAAGAAAGTCCCACAATTATTATCGCCTTTTCAGCCCATGGCAGTCTGGAGAACCAAACAGTGAAACCGAAAACTGTGGAGAGTTTCATCCATATGGAATGAATGACCATGACTGTAGTCGGAAGTTCAACTTCATTTGTTCACGAGACAAAAGTAAGTAGTAATATTGAAGTCCTGCTGACCGTTAACCTCTCATAATATTCTCCCCAACAAGTGCAGGATAATGGAAGAGAACAACAGTAAAGGGATTTCGTGAAGCATTATTGCCACAACGTTTCAAGTTCTGTTTATACAAGATATCTTAAAAACGATATGTACACCATTATCCTGTCTATTTATCGATTGGATAAGATTCACCAGTCTTTGCAAATTCCCGATTACAACTTGTTGCTCTCACTATTTTTCTTTCACATTCACAAGAAAGATTGTACTAAGATTTTGTTCATTGTTCTTTAATTAAATGGTAAACCAGCCGGGTGTCTACAAAACAAAGACCTAAGACCTAAGACCTACAAAACTAAGACCCCCCACGTTATAAAACTAAGACCCTGTTATAAAACTAAGACCCCCCACGTTATAAAACTAAGACCCTGTTATAAAACTAAGACCCCCCACGTTATAAAACTAAGACCCTGTTATAAAACTAAGACCCCCCACGTTATAAAACTAAGACCCTGTTATAAAACTAAGACCCCCCACGTTATAAAACTAAGACCCTGTTATAAAACTAAGACCCCCCACGTTATAAAACTAAGACCCTGTTATAAAACTAAGACCCCCCACGTTATAAAACTAAGACCCTGTTATAAAACTAAGACCCCCCACGTTATAAAACTAAGACCCTGTTATAAAACTAAGACCACCCACGTTATAAAACTAAGACCCTGTTATAAAACTAAGACCCCCAACGTTATAAAACTAAGACCCTGTTATAAAACTAAGACCCCCCACGTTATAAAACTAAGACCCTGTTATAAAACTAAGACCCCCCACGTTATAAAACTAAGACCCTGTTATAAAACTAAGACCCCCCACGTTATAAAACTAAGACCCTGTTATAAAACTAAGATTCCCCACGTTATAAAACTAAGACCCTGTTATAAAACTAAGACCACCCACGTTATAAAACTAAGACCCTGTTATAAAACTAAGACCCCCCACGTTATAAAACTAAGACCCTGTTATAAAACTAAGACCCCCCACGTTATAAAACTAAGACCCTGATATAAAACTAAGACCCCCCACGTTATAAAACTAAGACCCTGTTATAAAACTAAGACCCCCCACGTTATAAAACTAAGACCCTGTTATAAAACTAAGACCCCCCACGTTATAAAACTAAGACCCTGTTATAAAACTAAGACTCCCCACGTTATAAAACTAAGACCCTGTTATAAAACTAAGACCACCCACGTTATAAAACTAAGACCCTGTTATAAAACTAAGACCCCCACGTTATAAAACTAAGACCCTGTTATAAAACTAAGACCCCCCACGTTATAAAACTAAGACCCTGTTATAAAACTAAGACCCCCCACGTTATAAAACTAAGACCCTGTTATAAAACTAAGACCCCCCACGTTATAAAACTAAGACCCTGTTATAAAACTAAGACCCCCCACGTTATAAAACTAAGACCCTGTTATAAAACTAAGACCCCCCACGTTATAAAACTAAGACCCTGTTATAAAACTAAGACCCCCCACGTTATAAAACTAAGACCCTGTTATAAAACTAAGACCCCCCACGTTATAAAACTAAGACCCCCCACGTTATAAAACTAAGACCCTGTTATAAAACTAAGACCCCCCACGTTATAAAACTAAGACCCTGTTATAAAACTAAGACCCCCCACATTATAAAACTAAGACCCTGTTATAAAACTAAGACCCCCCACGTTATAAAACTAAGACCCTATTATAAAACTAAGACCCCCCACGTTATAAAACTAAGACCCTGTTATAAAACTAAGACCCCCCACGTTATAAAACTAAGACCCTGTTATAAGAATCAGTCACTGTGCCTTGCTCTGCTCGCCACAAGGTAGTCTTGCCTCTGGGCCTTGTGTTCCCTAGTAACATACAGATTCTACAAAAGATAGTCTTGCTTCTGGTCCTTGTGTTCCCTTCTAATATACAGATTCTCCCCACTTACATAAAGATTCTACAAAAGGTAGTCTTGCTTCTGGTCCTTGTGTTCCCTTCTAATATACAGATTCTCCCCACTAACATAAAGATTCTACACATGGTAGTCTTGCCTCTGGCCCTTGTTTACCCTAGTAACATACACATATGGTAGTCTTGCCACTGACCCTTGTTTTCCCTAGTAACATGGTGGTTCAAGATTTCAGACCCATCTTTCTCACATAGATTGCTGAACTTATTTTAGTTAAGAATTCCTAATAGAATTAAGAATTAATAGCTGAAACTGTTCTGTTTGTCCTAGCAAACAATATCCCAATATGCATTTGAAATTCATTTTTGTCTATATGTGTTGACAGTCTGTGATGTCATCATCAATCATCACAATGGGAATTAGGTGAATTCTATCTGTGACAGTGAGATTATCTATGATGTCACATAGTAGTTTGATTTCTAAGAAATGTGGCAGAGTTCTATCTATGACAGAGATGCTTTGTGATGTCATCATGAATTATCTCGTTTCCATTGTGATGATTGATGATGTCATCAGAGTACTTTGTGATGTCATCGTGAATTACCTCATTTCTATTGTGATGATTGATGATGACATCACAGACTGTCAACAAATAGACAGAAGAAGTTGAACTACAAGTTGGAAAATTGTTTGCTAGGGCAAAACAACTCAGTTTCAGCTAATAATTCTTAATTCTATTAGGAATTCTTAACTAACAATGGTTCAGCAATCTGTGCCAGAATGATGGGTCTTAAATCTTGAACTACCATTAAACATCACTTCCAAAACAATACCAGCATAAAATGGAGTATCTCCTTTTATGCTCAGCATAAAATTAAAATGGGACATCACTTTTTATGCCAGCATAAAATGGGATATCACTTTTTATGCCAGCATAAAATGGGACATCAAAAAATTACTTTTTTAAAAGTCAACAAATCCGGGTATTTGTTACAGTCCATTTTTATATAATCCGCTGTTGTATGTTACTGGGGAACACAAGGCCCAGAGGCCAGGAGGCAAGACTACCTTGTGGCGAGCAGAGCAAGGCACGGTGACTGATTCTTATAGCAGGGTCTTAGTTTTATAACGTGGGAGGTCTTAGTTTTATAACAGGGTCTTAGTTTTATAACGTGGGGGGTCTTAGTTTTATAACAGGGTCTTAGTTTTATTACGTGGGGGGTCTTAGTTTTATAACAGGGTCTTAGTTTTATAACGTGGGGGTCTTAGTTTTATAACAGGGTCTTAGTTTTATTACGTGGGGGGTCTTAGTTTTATAACAGGGTCTTAATTTTATTACGTGGGGGGTCTTAGTTTTATAACGTGGGGGGTCTTAGTTTTATAACAGGGTCTTAGTTTTATAACGTGGGGGGTCTTAGTTTTATAACAGGGTCTTAGTTTTATAACGTGGGGGGTCTTAGTTTTATAACAGGGTCTTAGTTTTATAACGTGGGTGGTCTTAGTTTTATAACAGGGTCTTAGTTTTATTACGTGGGGGGTATTTGTTTTATAACAGGGTCTTAGTTTTATAACGTGGGTGGTCTTAGTTTTATAACAGGGTCTTAGTTTTATAACAAGGGGGGTCTTAGGTTTATAACAGGGTCTTAGTTTTATAACGTGGGGGGTCTTAGTTTTATAACAGGGTCTTAGTTTTATAACGTGGGGGGTCTTAGTTTTATAACGTGGGGGGTCTTAGTTTTATAACAGGGTCTTAGTTTTATAACGTGGGGGGTCTTAGTTTTATAACAGGGTCTTAGTTTTATAACGTGGGGGGTCTTAGTTTTATAACAGGGTCTTAGTTTTATAACGTGGGGGGTCTTAGTTTTATAACAGGGTCTTAGTTTTATAACGTGGGGGGTCTTAGTTTTATAACAGGGTCTTAGTTTTATAACGTGGGGGGTCTTAGTTTTATAACAGGGTCTTAGTTTTATAACGTGGGGGGTCTTAGTTTTATAACAGGGTCTTAGTTTTATTACGTGGGGGGTCTTAGTTTTATAACAGGGTCTTAGTTTTATTACGTGGGGGGTCTTAGTTTTATAACAGGGTCTTAGTTTTATAACGTGGGGGGTCTTAGTTTTATAACAGGGTCTTAGTTTTATAACGTGGGGGGTCTTAGTTTTATAACAGGGTCTTAGTTTTATAACGTGGGGGGTCTTAGTTTTATAACAGGGTCTTAGTTTTATAACGTGGGGGGTCTTAGTTTTATAACAGGGTCTTAGTTTTATAACGTGGGGGGTCTTAGTTTTATAACAGGGTCTTAGTTTTATAACGTGGGGGGTCTTAGTTTTATAACAGGGTCTTAGTTTTATAACGTGGGGGGTCTTAGTTTTATAACAGGGTCTTAGTTTTATAACGTGGGGGGTCTTAGTTTTGTAGGTCTTAGGTCTTAGGTCTTTGTTTTGTAGACACCCTAAACCAGCCTTCAAATATAACATAATGCACATACACTATATGCATGCGTATTTCAACTATTTCAGACAAACCATTCTTCTGTCCAAATGACTGGTACCATTTAGGGGAATACTGCTACCATCTGATAGACGACCAGAAGCAGTTTTGGGAGGCAAGGTAATCTGACTGACGTGTTTCATAAGAATAATCTGTTTTTATTTTTCATCAAAGGGCTCAGATCTTATAATATTTTATATCCAACAACAAACCTGCTTAGTGTTTCACTCTTAGTTTTGCCTATCAAAGAGTGCAAGTACCCAAAACACTGCACAGCTTCATAGGGGTTCGAACTGACTCCACAAAAATCATTCATTCCATGCAACAAATTGTACCAATGTCTTTTCTTAAATAAAATCAATTGGAATTTATACAGGGAAGACTGTGCAAACTTTGATGGCGAACTGACGTCAATTCAAAATATTGCTGACCAGACCACTGCTTTTGATATTGCTAAGACTTTTGAAAATGAACCTGCGTGGATTGGATTGTATACTAAAAGCAATGGCGGTGGGGTGAGTACAATATGGACCTTTGAAATAAATCCTGGCCTATTTTGAAGAATCAAAGAAACTAGATATATTGGATAGATTCATGATATGAAGAAGCAATTGTTGATGTTATTCTCTCCAGCCCTTAATTTTATATAGGCGATCAATGTTTTACCACAAACACAAAAATAATAGATTGTACGATTAAAAAGGCCGAATTTAATGCCGATCAGTAATATGCAGTTCTCATTTTGATATTAATGTTTATGTACTTGATGTTGTTTTCCGCTAGTCTCCTGGTTATGACTGGTTGTGGACAGACGGCACTAAATTCAACAATACGATAACATATTGGATAGATGGACAACCCAATGTAGAACCGTATGTCAATTTCTATATCTTTTACTACGAATCATCTTATGCGTGTTGTTAAATATGAAGAATATGAAGTCAAGAATATATCTCATTGGGCACAAAGCACATTCTAAGATAGGTGTCATTTCAGTCAAGAATATATCTCATTGGGCACACAGAACATTCTAAGATGGGTGTCATTTCAGTCAAGAATATATCTTATATGGCTCATTACATAGACATTCTAAGATTGGTGTCATTACAGTCAAGAATATATCTCATAGGGCATATAGATCATTCTAAGATGGGTGTCATTTCAGTTAAGAAAATATCTCATCGGGCACATAGAACATTCTAAGATGGGTGTCATTTCAGTCAAAAATATATCTCATAAGGCACATAGAACATTCTAAGATGGGTGTCATTTCAGTCAAGAATATATCTCATAAGGCACATAGAACATTCTAAGATGGGTATCATTTCAGTCAAGAATATATCTCATAGGGCATATAGATCTTTCTAAGATGGGTGTCATTTAAGTCAAGACTATATCTCATAGGGCATATAGAACATTCTAAGATGGGTGTCATTTCAGTCAAGAATATATCTCATAGGGCATATAGACCTTTCTAAGATGGGTGTCATTTCAGTCAAGAATATATCTCATGGGGCATATAGATCATTCTAAGATGGGTGTCTTTTAAGTCAAGAATATATCTCATAGGGCACAAAGCACATTCTAAGATGGGTGTCATTTCAGTCAAGAATATATCTCATTGGGCACATAGAACAATTCTAAGATGGGTGTCATTTCAGTCAAGAATATATCTCATTGGGCACAAAGCACATTCTAAGATGGGTGTCATGCCAGTCAAGAATATATCTCATTGGGCACACAGAACATTCTAAGATGGGTGTCATGCCAGTCAAGAATATATCTCATTGGGCACAAAGTACATTCTAAGATAGGTGTCATTTCAGTCAAGAATATATCTCATTGGGCACACAGAACATTCTAAGATGGGTGTCATTTCAGTCAAGAATATATCTTATATGGCTCATTACATAGACATTCTAAGATTGGTGTCATTACAGTCAAGAATATATCTCATAGGGCATATAGATCATTCTAAGATGGGTGTCATTTCAGTCAAGAATATATCTCATTGGGGCATATAGATCATTCTAAGATGGGTGTCATTTAAGTCAATAATATATCTAATTGGGCACAAAGCACATTCTAAGATGGGTGTCATGTCAGTCAAGAATATATCTCATTGGGCACACAGAACATTCTAAGATCGGTTCATTTCAGTCAAGAATATATCTCATTGGGCACAAAGCACATTCTAAGATGGGTGTCATGTCAGTCAAGAATATATCTCATTGGGCACACAGAACATATTCTAAGATCGGTTCATTTCAGTCAAGAATATATCTCATTGGGCACAAAGCACATTCTAAGATGGGTGTCATGTCAGTCAAGAATATATCTCTTTGGGCACAAAGCACATTCTAAGATGGGTGTCATGTCAGTCAAGAATATATCTCATTGGGCACATAGAACATTCTAAGACGGGTGTCATTTTAGTCAAGGATATATCTCATTGGGCAAACAGAACATTCTAAGATGGGTGTCATTTCAGTCAAGAATATATCTCATTGGGCACATAGAATAATATAAGATGGGTGTCATTTCAGTCAAGAATATATCTCATTGGGCACAAAGCACATTCTAAGATGGGTGTCATGTCAGTCAAGACTATATCTCATAGGCCATAAAGAACATATTCTAAGATCGGTTCATTTCAGTCAAGAATATATCTCATTGGGCACAAAGCACATTCTAAGATGGCTGTCATGTCAGTCAAGAATATATCTCTTTGGGCACAAAGCACATTCTAAGATGGGTGTCATGTCAGTCAAGAATATATCTCATTGGGCACATAGAACATTCTAAGACGGGTGTCATTTTAGTCAAGAATATATCTCATTGGGCAAACAGAACATTCTAAGATGGGTGTCATTTCAGTCAAGAATATATCTCATTGGGCACATAGAACAATATAAGATGGGTGTCATTTCAGTCAAGAATATATCTCATTGGGCACAAAGCACATTCTAAGATGGGTGTCATATCAGTCAAGAATATATCTAATTGGACACACAGAACATATTCTAAGATCGGTTCATTTCAGTCAAGAATATATCTCATTGGGCACAAAGCACATTCTAAAATGGGTGTCATGTCAGTCAAGAATATACCTCTTTGGGTGCAAAGCACATTCTAAGATGGGTGTCATATCAGTCAAGAATATATCTCCTTGGGCACAAAGCACATTCCAAGATGGGTGTCATGTCAGTCAAGAATATATCTCATTGGGCACACAGAACATTCTAAGATCGATGTCATGTCAGTCAAGAATATATCTCATTGGGCACACAGATCAGTCTAAGATGGGTGTCATTTCAGTCAAGAATATATCTCATTGGGCACATAGAACATTCTAAGATCGGTTCATTTCAGTCAAGAATATATCTCATTGGGCACATAGAACATTCTAAGATGGGTGTCATTTCAGTCAAGAATATATCTCATTGGGCACAAAGCACATTCTAAGATGGGTGTCATGTCAGTCAAGAATATATCTCCTTGGGCACAATGCACATTCTAAGATGGGTGTCATGTCAGTCAAGAATATATCTCATTGGACACACAGAACATTCTAAGATCGGTTCATTTCAGTCAAGAATATATCTCATAGGGCATATAGAACATTCTAAGATGGGTGTCATTTCAGTCAAGAATATATCTCATTGGGGACATATTACATAGAACATTCTAAGATGGGTGTCATTTCAGTCAAGAATATATCTCATAGGGCATATAGATCATTCTAAGATGGGTGTCATTTCAGTCAAGAATATATCTCATAAGGCACATAGAACATTCTAAGACGGGTGTCATTTCAGTCAAGAATATATCTCATTGGGCACACAGAACATTCTAAGATGGGTGTCATTTTAGTCAAGAATATATCTCATGGGGCATATACAACATTCTAAGATGGGTGTCATTTTAGTCAAGAATATATCTCATGGGGCATATAAATCATTCTAAGATGGGTGTCATTTCAGTCAAGAATATATCTCATAGGGCATATAGAACATTCTAAGATGGGTGTCATTTCAATCAAGAATATATCGCATAGGGCATATAGAACATTCTAAGATGGGTGTCATTTCAGTCAAGAATATATCTCATGGGGCATATATATCATTCTAAGATGGGTGTCATTTCAGTCAAGAATATATCTCATAGGGCATTTAGAACATTCTAAGATGGGTGTCATTTCAGTCAAGAATATATCTCATTGGGCATATAGATCATTCTAAGATGGGTGTCATTTAAGTCAAGAATATATCTAATTTGGCACAAAACACATTATAAGATGGCTGTCATGTCAGTCAAGAATATATCTCATTGGGCACACAGAACATTCTAAGATCGGTTCATTTCAGTCAAGGATATATCTCATTGGGCACAAAGCACATTCTAAGATGGGTGTCATGTCAGTCAAGAATATGTCTCATTGGGCACACAGAACATATTCTAAGATCGGTTCATTTCAGTCAAGAATATATCTCATTGGGCACAAAGCACATTCTAAGACGGGTGTCATGTCAGTCAAGAATATATCTCTTTGGGCACAAAGCACATTCTAAGATGGGTGTCATGTCAGTCAAGAATATATCTCATTGGGCACATAGAACATTCTAAGACGGGTGTCATTTTAGTCAAGAATATATCTCATTGGGCAAACAGAACATTCTAAGATGGGTGTCATTTCAGTCAAGAATATATCTCATTGTGCACATAGAACAATATAAGATGGGTGTCATTTCAGTCAAGAATATATCTCATTGGGCACAAAGCACATTCTAAGATGGGTGTCATGTCAGTCAAGAATATATCTCATAGGGCATAAAGAACATTCCAAGATGGTTGTCGTTTCAGTCAAGAATATATCTCATAGGGCACATAAAACATTCTAAGATGGGTGTCATTTCAGTCAAGAATATATCTCATCGGGCACACAGAACATTCTAAGATCGGTTCATTTCAGTCAAGGATATATCTCATTGGGCACAAAGCACATTCTAAGATGGGTGTCATGTCAGTCAAGAATATGTCTCATTGGGCACACAGAACATATTCTAAGATCGGTTCATTTCAGTCAAGAATATATCTCATTGGGCACAAAGCACATTCTAAGACGGGTGTCATGTCAGTCAAGAATATATCTCTTTGGGCACAAAGCACATTCTAAGATGGGTGTCATGTCAGTCAAGAATATATCTCATAGGGCATAAAGAACATTCCAAGATGGTTGTCGTTTCAGTCAAGAATATATCTCATAGGGCACATAAAACATTCTAAGATGGGTGTCATTTCAGTCAAGAATATATCTCATCGGGCACATAGAACATTCTAAGATGGGTGTCATTTCAGTCAAGAATATATCTTATATGGCACATTCTAAGATTGGTGTCATTACAGTCAAGAATATATCTCATAGGGCATAAAGAACATTCTAAGATAGGTTCATTTCAGTCAAAAATATATCTCATTGGGCATATAGAACATTCTAAGATGGGTGTCATGTCAGTCAAGAATATATCGCATAGGGCACATAGAACATTCTGAGATGGGTGTCATTTCAGTCAAGAATATATCTCATCGGGCTCATAGAACATTCTAAGATGGGTTTCATTTCAGTCAAGAATATAATATCTTATATGGCACATTACATAGACATTCTAAGATTGGTGTCATTACAGTCAAAAATATATCTCATCGGGCACATAGAACATTCTAAGATGGGTGTCATTTCAGTCAAGAATATATCTTATATGGCACATTACATAGACATTCTAAGATTGGTGTCATTACAGTCAATGATATATCTCATCGGGCACATAGAACATTCTAAGATGGGTGTCATTTCAGTCAAGAATATATCTCATAGGGCATATAGAACATTCTAAGATGGGTGTCATTTCAGTCAAGAATATATCTCATAAGGCACATAGAATATTATAAGATGGGTGTCATGTCAGTCAAGAATATATCTCATTGGGCACATAGAACATTCTAAGACGGGTGTCATTTTAGTCAAGAATATATCTCATTGGGCAAACAGAACATTCTAAGATGGGTGTCATTTCAGTCAAGAATATATCTCATTGGGCACATAGAACAATATAAGATGGGTGTCATTTCAGTCAAGAATATATCTCATTGGGCACAAAGCACATTCTAAGATGGGTGTCATGTCAGTCAAGAATATATCTCATAGGGCATAAAGAACATTCCAAGATGGTTGTCGTTTCAGTCAAGAATATATCTCATAGGGCACATAAAACATTCTAAGATGGGTGTCATTTCAGTCAAGAATATATCTCATCGGGCACATTGAACATTCTAAGATAGGTTCATTTCAGTCAAGAATATATCTCATCGGGCACATAGAACATTCTAAGATGGGTGTCATTTCAGTCAAGAATATATCTTATATGGCACATTCTAAGATTGGTGTCATTACAGTCAAGAATATATCTCATGGGGCATATAGAACATTCTAAGATGGGTGTCATTTCAGTCAAGAATATATCTCATAGGGCATATAGAACATTCTAAGATGGGTGTAATTTCAGTCAAGAATATATCTCATAGGGCATTTAGAACATTCTAAGATGTGTGTCATTTCAGTCAAGAATATATCTCATTGGGGCATATAGATCATTCTAAGATGGGTGTCATTTAAGTCAAGAATATATCTAATTGGGCACAAAGCACATTCTAAGATGGGTGTCTTGTCAGTCAAGAATATATCTGATTGGGCACACAGAACATTCTAAGATCGGTTAATTTCAGTCAAGAATATATCTCATTGGGCACAAAGCACATTCTAAGATGGATGTCATGTCAGTCAAGAATATATCTAATTGGACACAAAGAACATATTCTAAGATCGGTTCATTTCAGTCAAGAATATATCTCATTGGGCACAAAGCACATTCTAAGATGGGTGTCATGTCAGTCAAGAATATATCTCTTTGGGTACAAAGCACATTCTAAGATGGGTGTCATGTCAGTCAAGAATATATCTCCTTGGGCACAAAGCACATTCTAAGATGGGTGTCTTGTCAGTCAAGAATATATCTCATTGGGTACACAGAACATTCTAAGATCGGTTCATTTCAGTCAAGAATATATCTCATTGGGTACATAGAACATTCTAAGATGGGTGTCATTTCAGTCAAGAATATATCTCATAGGGCATATAGAACATTCTATAATGGGTGTCATTTCAGTCAAGAATATATCTCATTGGGCACAAAGCACATTCTAAGATGGGTGTCATGTCAGTCAAGAATATATCTCCTTGGGAACAAAGCACATTCTAAGATGGGTGTCATGTCAGTCAAGAATATATCTCATTGTCACACAGATCATTCTAAGATCGGTTCATTTCAGTCAAGAATATATCTCATTGGGCACATAGAACATTCTAAGATCGGTTCATTTCAGTCAAGAATATATCTCATTGGGCACATAGAACATTCTAAGATGGGTGTCATTTCAGTCAAGAATATACCTCATTGGGCACAAAGCACATTCTAAGATGGGTGTCATGTCAGTCAAGAATATATCTCCTTGGGCACAAAGCACATTCTAAGATGGGTGTCATGTCAGTCAAGAATATATCTCATTGGACACACAGAACATTCTAAGATCGGTTCATTTCAGTCAAGAATATATCTCATAGGGCATATAGAACATTCTAAGATGGGTGTCATTTCAGTCAAGAATATATCTCATGGGGCATATAGAACATTCTAAGATGGGTGTCATTTCAGTCAAGAATATATTGCATAGGGCATATAGAACATTCTAAGATGGGTGTCATTTCAGTCAAGAATATATATCATGGGGCATATAGATCATTCTAAGATGGGTGTCATTTCAGTCAAGAATATATCTCATAGGGCATTTAGAACATTCTAAGATGGGTGTCATTTCAGTCAAGAATATATCTCATTGGGCATATAGATCATTCTAAGATGGGTGTCATTTAAGTCAAGAATATATCTAATTGGGCACAAAGCACATTCTAAGATGGGTGTCATGTCAGTCAAGAATATATCTCATTGGGCACACAGAACATTCTAAGATCGGTTCATTTCAGTCAAGAATATATCTCATTGGGCACAAAGCACATTCTAAGATGGGTGTCATGTCAGTCAAGAATATATCTCATTGGGCACACAGAACATATTCTAAGATCGGTTCATTTCAGTCAAGAATATATCTCATTGGGCACAAAGCACATTCTAAGATGGGTGTCATGTCAGTCAAGAATATATCTCTTTGGGCACAAAGCACATTCTAAGATGGGTGTCATGTCAGTCAAGATTATATCTCATTGGGCACATAGAACATTCTAAGACGGGTGTCATTTTAGTCAAGAATATATCTCATTGGGCAAACAGAACATTCTAAGATGGGTGTCATTTCAGTCAAGAATATATCTCATTGGGCACATAGAACAATATAAGATGGGTGTCATTTCAGTCAAGAATATATCTCATTGGGCACAAAGCACATTCTAAGATGGGTGTCATGTCAGTCAAGAATATATCTCATAGGGCATAAAGAACATATTCTAAGATCGGTTCATTTCAGTCAAGAATATATCTCATTGGGCACAAAGCACATTCTAAGATGGGTGTCATGTCAGTCAAGAATATATCTCATTGGGCACATAGAACATTCTAAGATCGGTTCATTTCAGTCAAGAATATGTCTCATTGGGCACAAAGCACATTCTAAGATGGGTGTCATGTCAGTCAAGAATATATCTCATTGGGCACAAAGCACATTCCAAGATGGGTGTCATGTCAGTCAAGAATATATCTCTTTGGGTACAAAGCACATTCTAAGATGGGTGTCACGTCAGTCAAGGATATATCTCCTTGGGCACAAAACACATTCTAAGATGGGTGTCATGTCAGTCAAGAATATATCTCATTGGGCACAAAGCACATTCTAAGATGGGTGTCATGTCAGTCAAGAATATATCTCCTTGGACACAATGCACATTCTAAGATGGGTGTCATGTCAGTCAAGAATATATCTCATTGGACACACAGAACATTCTAAGATCGGTTCATTTCAGTCAAGAATATATCTCATAGGGCATATAGATCATTCTAAGATGGGTGTCATTTCAGTCAAGAATATATCTCATAAGGCACATAGAACATTCTAAGACGGGTGTCATTTCAGTCAAGAATATATTTCATTGGGCACAAAGCACATTCTAAGATGGGTGTCATGTCAGTCAAGAATATATCTCTTTGGGCACAAAGCACATTCTAAGATGGGTGTCATGTCAGTCAAGAATATATCTCATTGGGCACATAGAACATTCTAAGATGGGTGTCATTACAGTCAATAATATATCTCATCGGGCACATAGAACATTCTAAGATGGGTGTCATTTCAGTCAAGAATATATCTCATTGGGCATATAGAACATTCTAAGATGGGTGTCATTTCAGTCAAGAATATATCTCATAGGGCATATAGAACATTGTAAGATGGGTGTCATTTCAGTCAAGAATATATCTCATTGGGCACAAAGCACATTCTAAGATGGGTGTCATTTCAGGGGTAAGGAGGACAACACATGTGTCATTGTGAATCCCAATACTGATCTTGAAAAATCTTGGTCGGCACAACAGTGTGACAGAGAACGGAAGTATATCTGCAGAAGAATTGTAGGAAGATGTGCTGGTGGTTGGCTGGAGAAGAATGGAAAATGCTATAAGTTTTATGTCCAGGAGAAGAAGTCATGGTTCGGAGCACGGGACCATTGTGCCAGAATGAATACAAATCTGCTTTCTATCCAAAAGTAAGCCATGCAATACATGTGATGTTTCAAGTATTTTCCTCCAAGAAACTTATAAAATTATCTGATAATTCTCCATAGTTGGCTCGTTAATATTTTATATATCTACCATTGCTCTCTAAGCAGTTAAAATAATATTCTTTTTTACAGTCAATATGAACAGGATTACATCAACATAAAGGCAAAGCAGTTGGCACGCAGTCACATAAACACAATGTGGCTTGGAGTATCAGGTGCAGTATATTAGTTAAATTCAAAAAGCTACAAAGTTCTTATTTGTGCGTCATGACAAAGGTTTAAGTCATATCTTTTGTACCACAACTACATCCAAGCATACTGACCATACAAGCAACCTTTTCATGTTATATGTGCATAATATGTTAGAATGACAAAAGAAGATCCTCGTTTTAGAATTAAATAAGTGTAGACTTTCGCAAAATGTGTTGAGGTAAGGTCTAGTTAATGATTTTCGTATTTATTATCCTGGGTACCTTACTTGGAGGATATTTTTCCTGATAATAATCTCGTGTTTTGAGTTAGAAAATAACACATTGACACTTCAAGTTTCCTACAATAACTGTTTCAGATAAATCTGTGACTGATGAGACGTTAATTTGGTCTGACGGAACAGCAGTGGAGGGAGAGGAGAAATTTAAAAACTGGAATCTTGGTCAGCCCAATACTGTTGTAGGCAAAAGAGATTGTGGAAGGATATTTACAGGTCAGTACAAAAGTGACTTTGGTTTGAGCAGATGTAGTCTAAACCATGATGTCTTGACATGTTTTTTGACAAATATATCTCATCAGAAAATTTAATTCATGACCAAAACATGTAGAGTGAGCATCGGCACCACATTCATGAAATAGAAACCTGGGTAATTTATATTTCTAAAACTCTGAATGTTAGTAAATGAAGTGACTCGAGTTTCTGCAATCTCTAACCATCCGTAACTAAATGAATTGACCTGCTCTCTGATAGACATTTCACAAGACAACTAAAACACATATGAAATTGATCATTAATATGAGTATATTGTTTCTCAATCTGTTCAATGATTAGGTCTGACTGAGGCGTACTGGAGCATGACTACATATTGTTTACAGCTGAGTGCATATGCTTGTGAGACTACAGTCGGATCTGTTCCTATCGTTCCGACAACAGCTCCAGGTAATTGTAAAAAACTGAATAGCCTTCAAAACCTACTACTTGGATTCTCAAACGATAACTTTTCTGATCTTTGAATGTTTAAGAGCTTTTTCAACATCATTAGAGAGCTTTCGATATAAGTTTTCAGCCAAACTTATACTGCAACTTTAACTTTTAAATGACATTAACTCCACTGGGGAGGAAGGTTTCTCAAATCAATTCCCTCGTTTCCTTATCGAGGAAATTGATTTGTGAATATCCCTGCAATGGCAGAATTAATTTCTAAGTTGTGATCATATTTTGAAACCGAAACTCACGAACTACATACATTGGAAGGAATGCTTTCATCCTTCAAATCACAATATTTGGCATAAATATTGTGTTGTGATTTTAAGGATGAAAGCACTCTATCATCATTTCCAGTTCCTCCCCAGTGCTATACTTTACTTGTACAAATACAAGTTTGCGTATACGTATCCAATCGAAAGCTCTCTATTAACGTTTTTTAACTACTGAACTATCACTTTTAATGTTGATTGTTGTTTTCATGGTTTGTCTGTTTTAGTACCATATGCTTGCCCGAATGACTGGACCATGGACAATAGCTTCTGCTATAGCTTTGAGGAAGAGAGGGTGACATGGCCAATGGCGAGACTTAAATGTCAAAACCTGGCAGTTGGCGCGGATTTGGTCACTATCATGAGTGAAACTGAGCAAACCTTCATAAATAGTGCGTCCATTTTGTATGATATACATTCTAGTTGTTATTGCCCTTGAATCAGTACATAAAAACCAAGACACAATTTTGGTGTAGAATGCAAAATTTAAACATGACCGTTCTCTAATTTAACTGAGTTTCTCAAGTAATCAGAATGCAGCATGCTGTGTTTTAATTGTCCAAACATGAGCGACTGCATCTATTCAATCATCCGGGAATCTTTGAATTGTGTTGTACTTTGACGGCACACCTAGGGATGGCGAAAATAACAGCAAGTTCGATTAATGGATCTACCTCAATCCCTTGTTCTCTGGACAATGTTTTCATTTTTATGTTTGAATCAGAATAAATAATGAAACGCCATTCTATATGGTGAAATTCTAAACTCGTTGGACAAAATGTCAGTACATTTGCTTACCTTCGGAACCTGTGCTGAATTTCACCATATTATATGGCATATCATTGTTTGTTCCTTAAATAGAAATATTATGTTTCAAGAGTCACGTCATTGTCATGGTGTTTTTTTAGGTAAACTTCAAGCAATATCATGGATTGGCTTCAACGATAGAGCAGTAGAAGGATCATGGGTATGGAACGATGGTATCAATGTAAGTACTTATTTCATGAGAGGTTCAGTGATCATTTTTCAGACTTTGCAGACATCCAGGCAGTCATTAGATGCAATAACTGTCTATTTCTAGCCTATTTTTACCAATTGGGGCGATGGTGAACCAAATAACGGCGTTGCTGATGGCGAGAACTGCGCGGAAGTTGTTGACGTTGAGAGAATAAAGGGCAAATGGAATGATGTCGCATGTTCAAATAAATTGCCTTTCATCTGTAAAATGGATGCTGCCATTGTTGGAATTACAACACCAACTGGAACCCCTGGGCGTAAGTGATAGGTACATTTTGTGTAAATTAAATGATTGCAAATTGTGTATCTCGATGATGTATTAACTCAGTCCTTATAACTACTTGTATATAATGGAAATGAACCTTATATTGTAAGACGTAGTCTCATAGTTATCATATTGAGATTGTAAAATGTTATATTAGCAAGATGGACGCAGAAGTGCGGACCTTACTGGGAAGATGATGTTCTGAGTGAATACTGTTATCAGTTTATAACAACGGCTTCATCCTGGACAGATTCACGTGCTACGTGCCAGGACCATGGCGGGGATCTTCTTAGTATAAACAGTGTCCATGAGCAACGATACATTGCAGGTATCAGATATTTCCTTTTAGCTTTCCGTCAAGATACAACACGACTGAAAGAAGTTTAGGACCTTGCGATATCCACATTTATTTTTAGTAAACTAATTTACAAGGGTCGATCAAAAAGTTTCTTACCAATGGCCCTCATATAAATTGGTTTATTTGTAGTGACACAGAGTCAATACATATTTTCAATGACTAAGTTAGATTGAGTGGCGTGATTCATGAAAAATCTGCTAAAAGTACCAACGTACATCAAGTATCAAATCATATCTATGAAAACGATATAACTTTGCAATCCAAGATTGTTAATTGTGACTTTCGGTTAGTGTACTAGTGTATATTTTGTTTTATTTTAGCTAGAACTGTTGGTATAACTGGTTCCTTGGGAATGTGGATTGGCATTCATGATCGTTCGGAGAAATTTATATGGGAGTGGTCGAGCGGTGATCCTGTTAACTTCTTCAATTGGGCACCAGGTAAAAAATAATCAGTTGCTTGGATTCTCGTGTCTGTTATTAACAACAAACATTTTTATTTACCCTCCTTGTTGTACACATGCCTCATACCATTTTTATCAATTATGTCAAGGTGAGCCGAACAATTGGGCTGGTACCGAAGATTGTGGCGAAATGGCACTTTTTAGCAAGCAGTGGAACGATATCAGCTGCAATGCACGCAGATATTCAATCTGTAAAAAGAGAGGTAAGTAAATTGATAGTTTAGAACATTAAATTCGCTAAAAGATATTTCCAAACGATTCGCCCCACAAAGTACAGAATAAAATCTATTAATACAATATAATACATGTTATCAAATTTATCCAGGGACAGTATCAACCACTCTACCTGCTCCAACAACTCCCGTAATTGGCAATGGGGACTTAACTTATGAGACTGAACCAAAATTGGAATATACCTTTCTTCCGTTTTCACTGACCGGACGGACAAGTTTATCATTCCTTATCAAAGCGTCTGGAGGCGCTCATATTCTCCTCGCAGAGATATCTGGTGACCTTGATGACTCAGCATCGCATCAAATAGAGCTAGGAATTGAAAACAATCAATATTCAGAAATCCGTAGTAGACATGGAACAACACATCATGTAAGAGTTGAGACTCCGGGTATTTTGAATAAGAATGAGTATAGGGCATTTTGGATAGGATGGAACGGTGCGAATATCCAAGTTGGTCGAGGTAAAACAATTGGACAAGACGTATTCATGAAATGGCAAGCCCCCGAGGACTTCAAGGCTTCATACACCGCCATTTCAACGGAAGAGGGGATACCAGGAAAATGGATCTTTGTCAATATAATGGGTATGAGAAGATTTATTATCACCATAATCATTTAATTTATAAACTATATTAATCTTTGCAATACTAAAATTTATGATTTCTAGGTTATCGTTATGGATGCGAGGAGGGATGGGTGCAGTATGGGGAGAAATGTTATCATTTTGTCAACGATTGGTCAAAGTCCTGGCAACAGGCTAGAGATGAATGTAGATATGACAGATCTGAACTGGTCAGCATCCTAGATGAAAATGAATACAACTTTGTTGCATCAAAAACAAAAGAAATGAGTAAGTATTTTGTGGCTGTTTACTTCATGCAGAGAAGATGTTACAAATAGTAACCTAGGCAAAATGTATTAATGACGCAAATATAAAACCCCACTTTTTACATGTACATATACAGGGTGTCCGGAAAGTAAAGATACAAATACTCTTATTTTAAGAAATTTTGATTTTTTGAAATGAAATTGCTACAGATTGTAGAGGAACAATATTACAATATATCTACCAACTTTCATTACATATAGTCTAAATGTATTCAAGTTACGGTTGTTATGGTTACGGATGTGAGAGGTATGTGGAGCAGTTCCAGAACAATGCTAAAAAGTGAAAAATTGCTAAAAGACAACCATTTGAAACAGTGTTTTTTGTTGTATTTTCTATAAATGTTTTGTTTTGTTCATCATTGTATTATTGCTGCCATAGTATTTTCTTTTATATAATGATGTCATTGCTACATATCAGAACTATGTTATGTCACTAACCAGTATAATGAAAGAAATATTATACATGTGCTTAGAAGAAATGGTCTTGGCCATTAGTAGGAAAGTCAATATCTTCACGATGCACCAATTCACAAAGCAAAAAACAGATCTTACAATGGAGTGTCTTGACACTAAACCTTTCTATCAATCCTCCATATTAACCTGATAAAGCCTCTTTAGACTTCTACCTTAATGACCATTTGAAAGCAATATTTGTTAAAAGTTCAACATCCAAATATGACTCAGCTGGAAGACAATGTTATCAGCAATCTGAAAGATGGACAGCAGCGGTTTTGTCAGGTCTTTGAAGCGCCAGTCAAGATGCACCAATAATGTGTCGATAATGGCGAAAATAATGGATATTCAATGAAAGTAGTAATATGAAATGATCAAATAATGTTACATTACTAATCCCTATGCTGTTGTGGTACATAATTTGATATAATATAGGAATAGATGGTGGAGTGCCAAGATCATATGAGCAGGAAAGAGATTTGTAGAATACGGTTGTGACATTGCTCCACTTACCCTCGACTCCCGTTACCATAACAACCATAACTTTTTCATTTTGAAACTTAAAGTCATGACACTTGCAGGATATATTGTTATAATGTCATTCCACATTCTGGAGCAATTTCATCTAATAACAGGTAAATCTCTTGAAATAAGAGCATTGGTATCTTTACTTTCCGGACACCCTGTATATTTAAAACAACACAAACACACACAGGCATAGTAAACAATTATCAGCAATCCTAATGAGGTTTATAAACTTATGGCAAGACTGATAAATTCAAGCATGTTACAGCTAGTGTAAGTAATAGATGGCCGTATGATAAGGTGTGGATTGGCTTGAATGATCTAAGAACAGCGTTCCACTTTGAATGGTTGGATGGATCGCCAGTAACGTTCACAAGATGGAATGCCAGGGAGCCTAATGATCACAATGGAAACCGTGAACAATGTGTCGTCATGTATAAAGAGTCTCACGTAAGTGTAACATTAGTATCCATTTACCAGCAGCCTGACATCAAGTCAGCGATCTGCCCATTCCCCTTTATTTTCCTGGCCAACACGCGATGTTTGCTATACGATATATATTATACCTCTCGGTTTCATGATACTAATGGATGAATTAAACATTTCAGAAAGCAAGATGGAACGATGTCCCATGTGACACACGGTCTGGTGGTTATATTTGCAAGAAGTCAATAGCTGAATACCCACCAACTAGTGTACCCCCAACTGTAGATGGATGCCCGACAGTAAGAAGTTTTAGTCGTCACCGAATATACAACTTTCATAGTACAATATAATTTGCACGATACTTATTTTACTCTCACTGATGTAACTTGTACAATTCATTTTATACACTCCTTGGAAGTGATCTTATCCGTGGCACTGGATTCCGTGTTAACACATGGCCTGGATTTGAATGTCTAACTGGTGTTTAAGTTATAACGAACGGAATTAACCCCCTCGATCAGTTCGTGTACAACTAAAATTCCCGTAGCCGACAAGTGAAATTGGTTCAAATAAGTTAGGTTTTAGAAAGTTGTGACAACTTTCCTATTCTCCTCATACGTTTTGCCGAATGTAAACAAGGGAGGTAACCTCGCTAAGGCCCTTTACCTATTCATAGGTTTACAATTGTTTTCTTTACAAAGAACAATCAATTCCCTAGAGACTTGGCGCTGTAGTATCGTCCGCCGAACTTACTGCGAAACATCTCCATATCCGTAGGGTACCTCAACCGTTTTTACTTAAATGATCAGTTATATTCCGCAATAATGTAAACAAATCCACTGCCACGGATAAGACGACTTGCAAGGAGTATAGCAAAACGGTAAACGTGTATGTTTTGGAGATTCCTATATGTTTGAACATAATTCAACTGTCAAGTTCAACTGTCAAGTTCAACTGTTCAAATGGTTTATAGATCTCAAGGTTTGTGCTATCATTGTAAATGCACTATATGTTTATGCTCTTCCCAAGGACTTTCAATCGGCATGGGACGCATATTGTTACTCTCTAGTCACTACACCCAAGACCTTCACAGATGCAGACATTCATTGTACTGCAAAGGGAGGAAAATTGGTCGATATACTTAGTTTGTGAGTACAGTTTCTCTTTTTATCCATATACAAGGGGCGATCCATATATTCTGATAAAAATGCTCCCATTTTGTGATTTTTCCACCTATCCCTTTCATTTTTTCAGAACATGTAGATTATGTAATTACACATACGATCATACGATGGTAAAATGTTTAAGCTATATCTTAAATTAATTTTGAAATAAGGTTGCCATGGTAACCTGTATTTATATAGGGTAGGCAGGTCAGTTAAATTATAACATCTAAAATAGATAAATATGTTAATTTAATCATTCCTAGGTACCTATTTTAAGCAGATCAAACGTATCTTCCGGTCATTGCCAACTATTCATTGATCTGTTCCATACCCCTGTTGCCCTTTTTTGATAATTTATACAGTGGTATGGCTATCTTTTCATTAGTAACATCTCAATTTATCGTAGTGTTATTCTCTGTCCACAAGCTCTTCTTGCAACCAGATTGTGGATGATCTTCAACAGTGACCATGCCTTCCTCTTTACAATACTACCTATAGATTCTTTATGCAGAAATAACACCTTGCCCACGCACTTAATAAGTCCATGTATGTCTCTGACAGCATCCTCTTACTTATTCTTGAAAGAAAATAAAATCTAATGGTATTCCCTAATGTATCAGTTAATGTCACACTCTGCATCAGCCACATTAACCTCATCTGACAATTTGATTTTTGGTGTGTCTCATAACATGTAATGTCAATTGGCACATTCTGTCCTATAATGCTATTGTGATTTGTTGTGATGTTATAGTGAGCACATATAAACATTTGTTTAGCAACAAACAACAAGTAACAATACCAAACTTTTTTAGAAAAAATGCATGATTTCCGCATGCTTTAAAATAATAAGTTATTATGATATTTATATGTGATAATTTAGTTGACCTGCCTACCCTTAATACAGGTTACCATGGCAACCTTATCTCATTGATAATTTAAGATATAGCTATCATATTTTAGCATTGTATGTGTAATTACATAATCTACATTTTCTGAAAAAATCACAAAATGAGAGCATTTTTATCAGAATATATGGATCGCCCCTTGTATACATGATATGTGACAACGGACTATGGTGGGTGTATTGTATTATATTACAGTATACAATTGTAGACCTCTCTCCCGTGTCATTTTGATTTATTTCGATGGTAGAATATATCTAACTATCCTATAAGTAGCAACACATTTTGATTGATTGTTGTACCAAGGGATTTTAAGGGGATAAAAATGATTTTCAGACCAGAACAGGAGTACATATCTAGTGAATTAGCGTTTATCTCGGGGAACATTTGGATTGGATTGACTAACCGAGGTGCTAATTCTACATTCTATTGGACGAGTGGAAGACCAGTCACGTACACAAATTGGCACGAATCGCATACAGGTTAGTTATGAACAGTATTCTACTCACTGGTGATCCACTCGATTACGCTGGTTAACCGTTTTGGTAACAAAATTTCGGAACGTCGAAGGCACGATTTTTCTTTTTTCCTTATTTCACGCGTTGTAGGCAGAATCCCCACGACGTTTTTTCTCACAACGTGCATCAGTATCATATGTTTTAGAAAATGTACATGTTTGCGAAAAAATAGCTCAGCGGACAACAGAATCGTCGATTTACTTCCTCACTTAAGTTACATAAACGGTTTTTCGAAAAACAGTTAAGATCTGCACTTTTAACCCAAACCGTTTATGTAACTTAAGTGAGGAAGTAAATCGACGATTCTGTTGTCTTCTGAACTATTTGTTCGCAAATATGTACACTTTCTTAAACATATGATACTGATACACGTTTGTGTTGAAAAATGTCGTGGGAATTCTGTCTACAACGTGTAAAAAAAGAAAACGAGAAAAATCGTACCTTCCGGATGTTCCGACATTTTGTTACCAAAACGAACCGTTTTGGTAACCAGCGTAATCGAGTGGATCACCAGTGCTACTAGTGTATCTCAGAAGTCAAGGACCAACTAAAATATATCATACACAAAATGTATATGCACATTTACAGCGTAACATGTAAATGTATACAATGTTCCTTATGATTGCATCCAGGTAATGAGGTGCACTCCTGTGTATCCGCTCGGGCGACAAGCCCTATTGGTAAATGGATGGATGATGACTGTTCCAACCGTAGAGGTTTCATATGCAAGAAGGGACGATTAGGATACACACCAGCGCCTCCCCCAACGACGATAGTCACGCCTGAACCGTGTCCCAGTGAGTGGAAGGGCTTCGGTGATAAATGTTATAAGGTACACAACTACAGTAAAAAACGCCTTGTTAATGATGCTCACCTTAATGATAAATGCATTTGATTTATTCAGAATCTTACAAGGTGTCAAATGTGTTGTCCTCTAGATCTCCCTCCTCGACAGCATGAACTAACCTTGGTATAGTTATATATCATCTTTAAACAGCATTCAATAATGATTGAAATAAGTCCCGAATGATATAGATCACACATTTCTCTAACATGTATTTACTGATACAGCCATATTTAGTAATCAATTTCTGTTGATTTTCTAGGACCGGTCAGCCTTGAAGATTGCATTTTTTTGAAGATGACTAAACATTTCAAACAGCATTTTGGTACTTACATAAATAGATTCAATTTGACACGCACCCTGTTGTAGATTACGTATAGTATTCACTTTATATACATTTTATTGTCAAACTAATTATACAGGGTTGGTATACGTGGTCCAAAAGTGAAATGAAAACGTGGGTAGAAGCTCAAAGCTTCTGTAAACACCTAGGTGGTGATTTAGCTAGCATACATAGCGCAGAACTTACAAAATTCATCGGAGACAACTATATAACTTCGTGAGAACCTTTTTAGTCCCTAAATGCACACGATAATGACATTTACATCGTATGAAAGAAATGTCAGGCTTTCCTTTAGATCTTTGTTCAAAATGCACTGTCACTGATATTGCATTAACATGACATTTGAGAAACTTTTGATTCAGTTGTAAAAATGTCTAGTCACCGAAATCACTCACATATGATGTTATGATACAGGGTGTACCAAAAAACTTAACCCACCTAATAATAAATATCTCTTCAACTAATAGAGTTCGATTAAAGAAAGTTTGCACAATTCAATAAATTCATTTAATAGTAAGAACTATGTTTTTGGGTAACCATGCTCCTGATGAAGTGGTTCAGAGACCACTTCATTGTGCCAGATGCACTCAATGATGAGAATGGAATCATTATTTAATGGCCCGCAAATGGGCTATGCATTTGCTATAGTGGTGAAACTTTGTCAACTTAAAGAACATTGAACTAACTTTAACTGTGCAAACTTTCTTTAATCAAACTCTTTTGGTTTAAGAGATATTTATTGTCGGGTGGGTACTTTCTCTTATCAAACTCCATTGGTTAAAACGATATTCATTGTTAGGTAGGTAAATTTTTTTGGGTTCACCCTGTATGTACAATATGCTTCACTGTCGCTTTGTAGACATAGTATTGCTGATCTTATTGCTGATAGCTTCAACTACACTTGGACCTATATCCCGGAGATAGAGGTCCATGTCTATACTAAACTCAGCGACCGAGTTACTGATCAATATTCTTAAGCCTTCAGTAGAAAGCATAGCATGATTATTCTCTAGATTTTTCTTCTTTCGCTTATGCATGCATGTCTTTGGCTTTATTAAGGCTTACAATGAATATCAAGTTGGAGAAAGGAAAACATGGGGAGAAGCTGAAAGTTTTTGTCGTAGTATAGGAGGGGACCTTGCGAGTCTCCATAGTGAAGAGGTCTCTGTTTTTCTAAAAGATGTCACGACGTAAGTAAAGTATTACTATGAGAGAACACTCTCCCTATGAGTTTCGGTGTTAGGACTAAATGTAAACTGCGCTTGTTATAGATTAAAATAAAATAAAAAGTTGTTTCAATTATGTTAATCGCTCATGCTGAATCGCTATGGAAATATTCTGATTTACGAAAATGAAATATTTTCATACATTCCACAATTTCACTCCAAAACATCGACATGATAAACATGATTTCAGATGGTCCAACACAGGATACTGGATTGGTTTAAGCAAAAGATCAACTGACAATGGTAAGCAAAATAATGAATTGTGATTCTCGGATTGACATTTGTGTCTATTATCTGGTACACTTCAATTTTGCACGGATGCTGGCACGGATGTGATCTGGAAATGTCGAGGCAGTCTAAATTGAAATAATCATCGAATACAGATCTATATACGATCAGCATTTTTCATTATTAGCGCAATCGTTGTATACTGTCGAGATTAAATAAGACACTGTCTTGTACATAGGCTTAGTACTGTGCATACGAAACATCTTGTAACAATTCATTAATTCATGTCGATGACAGTACATTATACCTAATATATATTTTTTAGTATGATTACATATAACACAATAATGCACGTGCTTTTATGAACCTGGACGTAATTACTATCCTTAGAGATGATTTACGAGAAAACCAAAATCTGTAATCATTTAGTAGAACCTTTAGATTTTGGAACAGATGTCAGTGTTAGAACATACAATATATCAAGTCTTATATTAAACAATATAGTATTTTAAATTACCATAATTGACAATGTCTTAACTATTCAGCATACCATTGGAATGACGGGTCTCCATTTCAATATTCTAACTGGGATAAGCCAAATGAACCAAATGACCATCTCGGTCATGAGAACTGTGCCGAACTTATCTCCAACAATAATCATAAGTGGAGACTGAGCTACTGCTACATTAGTAGAAACTGGATTTGTGAGCTCCAAAGAGGTGCGTTCCCTTGGTTGCACGATACATATGTTTTAACATGAGTATACCTGGTAGTAAACACGCCCCGGATCCACTGTCAAAGTATTTAAGGGAATCACGAGCAAATCAGTTCAATACCCCTGCAAACTATTAAGTTATTTTTGTCGGTGGATAGTTTTTCATTGTAATACGTTCACGCAAAAAATTGTAAGAATTTCATTGGGATTAAAACATAATTGAAAACATAACTTTTATTTGATTCAGGAATACAGCCTTTGACTACTCCTGCTGCACCAACTCCTAATCCAGGTAAGACACTGTCCTAATTTCCGTCAACTTTCAACTTTCTAATGCATCATAAATATAAATATGTATTGCATCTAGAAATTATTATTACAATATGGACATTAATTTCTATTCCGACTTTAACATTACGTGAACAACCAAGGGGAAATGGCCAAAAACGTGTAAAGAAACCAAGCTAGAAAATCAAATTCGAAGTGTAAACCTGTCATAAGAAAAATATACCCTAATATATCCCAAAACCATTATCATAACATCAAAAATAGTTGTAGATACTAGTACTCATAAAAGATATAAGCTCATAAGAGAGCATTCAGTCTCAAATGATGTGGGATAGACAAATCCAGTCTCAAAGTCCATAGGCAACTTAAAAAATCAACATTCATTTGATGACATTGAAATGACCTCTACTCTGACATTGTCTGAGAGCCTATTGGCAATTTTAAGAGATACCTAGGCCTCCGCTGGAGCCGATTGCTCATGGTCGGAATCCTACCTGCAGGATGCGGTGATTTGATTGAAGTATTTGATGAGACTTTAGAGATTAGATTGTGGTTGAAATCACTCTCTGCCTCATAACTGTATCGTATTCCAGCACACTATTGTGCGAATGGAGCCGATTGGAGATATTGGAGCGGCCATTGCTACTTTGCCAGTGAGAGTTACGAAAAAAAGTCATGGTTCGCTGCCAGGAAATATTGCATGGACCATGGGGGAGATCTCACTAGTATTAACTCAATAGACGAAAACCATTTTCTTACTGCATGGGTAAATTGACATCTTCTTTTCCAGAAAGTATTTTATTTAACCAGATTGCATAGGAATTCAATGTTCGAAGTGATTGACTTGAATCTAAATGTATTGTAGGGTCCTTATAGAAGTATTAGAATATCAAAAACTCTTAGGAAACATGAGTGGCATAATTTTAACTGTATTATTTGCATTGCAGACTGGAAAAACATCAAATGACAAATTATGGATCGGATTGAATGAACTAGAGCTAGACGGTTACAAGTAAGATTTTATGAGGCCATTGCGTTTTTATTTTGCTTGTGCATAACGTTTTAAGATTGTGGATAAATGCAAATGTGATATCCACAACTCATACTCTTTCTTTGAAGAAACGTTGCTAAGAGATCTGATAAATCAGAATGGGACAATTGTGTTATATAAACTATTTTCGTATTGAAGGTGGTCAGATGGCTCACCAACATCGTTAGTCATATGGGCAGAGGGAGAACCAAATGACTACAATTTTGGACAGAGATGTGTTGATCTTTATGCGTTTAATGGTAAATATTTTAACTTAAATTGTTCTCACAAGATAACAATTACAATCTTAGATAATTGCTTTTTTCTTTAGTTAGTAGTTAAGTCTCTCTTTCTAGATTTCCCAAGACATTGGCTGTACTTCTCAGTTATTGAAACTGTTTTGGAGATGAAATACATACTATTAAATCCATATCTGTATATTAAGACTGTATGTATGGATTTGTTCCCTAAAGGGTTTTGGAATGACGACAACTGTGGAGACCCACTTGGATTTATTTGCAAGTCTAGAAATGAGAGCATAGATGCCAGAACTCTTCCTCCAACTGTTGAAGTTCCTGGTTACTGTCCACAAGGCTACAACGGAGTTGGTGAGTTGTTTTTCATGCACGACCCAAAACAGGAGATCGCATTGAAGCGGTCGTAAAGTTAAAGGTTATTCATCTAAAGATTATTTGTCTGATAATTTGATTTATTTATAACATCATTAAATACAACACTATTCACTGTGAAAACACTAGCACTGGTTAATATCAAGCGAAAGTTACAGTGTCACCTTCGCATATATCTTCCACCGCTTATATTAAGGGAAGGTGACTGGGATTTTGGTTTCATAACCGTTACCATATCATACATTTGCAGTAACCTTCCCTTAAGTGGTGGACTATATCGTTGAACTACGGCGTCCACGCACGATATTTGGACAAATGTTCCATGTCATATAAGTATGATTTAATTCAAATATCAAAGCATTACGTCAACTATAAAGTATCCCCTTTTAGGCGCCATTTTTGGATCTTTGTCTTTGTTTGTATCACATAATATTATGGGCACATGTTTTCTTATTCATCGCAAGTGTCTGTAGATAATTGAGAAATTTTTGACATGTAAAATGGTATGCTGGCATGATATTTTGAATTAAAAGAGGGCACAAAACGATCCCCGAAGATGCCTGGATTATTTAAAGATATTGATGTGTTTAATGGCCTGAAAATGGATTGGGTAGGAGAGTGGCATACAGTACCTTTTGGGTTTATTCCAATTACGATTTCATTCAAATGAATAGTGACATGTTTGGTATCATCTTCAATTTGCTACCCGTATCACGTCATGCTGTATATTGTGACGCCACGGTGGTACCAAACTACTATAAATGGAAAATAAGCACCAACATGCGGCAAAAATGGTTTGACGACTCACTACATGCCACAATCGACCTTACTGTTGGCATATCAACCCAGGCCCATTTTCCGTCAAACTTGGTTCAGCTACCACCAGGCGGTAAATATCCTTAAAAACCAAATTGTCATGGTTATCAAAGTCTTATAGCTACCATGGCAATCGGGAGAAGCGGGAGTAAAAATGAGCAAAAACACCCGAACCTTTCATAATGGCCAAAGTAAAATTAAATCTGCTCTTCAGACAATGTTTGATAACTTTTCTTTAAAAAAAATGTCGTCAAACTTTATAAAAAAACGTAAAAGGCAATTCTCGTTCTACTGTTGGTGGAACAAATACTGAGGTTCTAGGTACATAACGGCTCCCTATCCGAGGGTTAATGGATTTTCGTTACTCGAATCTGACAGTAACAATAGCCGGCCAGTCACCATGATTTACTCATGATGCCCTCATATCCATTCATGAATACGAGTCATATTACTCATAAATCAGAGGATATCTTCCATTATATGTTTATGTTTTTGTGGTTTTTGATTTTGTCCTTAGTCTATTTCATTTACTTACAGGCAACAAGTGTTTTGGATTGTTTGGCGAAGATATAGCCGACCGTTTAAGCTGGACTGATGCTGTTGAGACTTGTCGTAGAAATGGCTTGGCATATGATCTAGCTACAATCAACAGCAATTTGGAATCTTGTATGTACTGTGCTTTCAAAACAATTTCTCAGCGAAAGCTCGGAATTTCTTCATTACTTTTAAATTCAACATGCATATACAATTTCACATTCAGCAACTTATAATTTTAGCTGTTATAACTGCGATGTTGAAGGGAAGATCAACAGATCTTTGGATTGGTTTGAACGAGAGAATCATTCACGGAGACTGGAGGTGGGCTAACAATGAGGATGTTGTCTACACTAACTGGGGACAAGGAGAACCAAACTCTGGATGGAATGAGGTAGAATACTAACAAAAAATGTTTTAAAGTAAAGCGCGCGCGATTTGTTTTTTAATGATTTGTTATTTATATTTTATCGATATGATTGTAGAAACACTGTGCAAATGTTAAAGTGGATCCAGGGTGGAAAGGAAAGTGGGACGACTTCAACTGTGATGAACCCAAAGGATATGTTTGTCAAGTTTATAAAGGTGGATATACACATATTAGAATAGCTTTTGCTCGTATTAGCTTTTTCATGTTTGCTTTGATGATATTGTCCAGCTTTACTAAACGAATGGCTTGAAATGAACAATATCATTTTTAAACATCATCGGTTCTCTGATCTTTTGTCACTTTCATGAAAGGATCAACTGTATTTAAGTTGATGAGCTGAGAATGTCCATGTATACGTACAGGTACATGCATGTCATGTTTTAACAGATCTGTCAAACCCCATAATCACAGCACCGGTGACGCCACCCAACAGCTGCCTAGATGGCTACTCTCCCTACACAGACGGTTGCTACAAGCTAGTGCTCACATCAATGCAATGGTCGGCAGCAAGCAGTAACTGTCAGCTGGATGGAGCATCTCTCGTATCCATTCATAGTGCTTTTGAAAATGCATTTATTCATGCAATGCTGAGTTCTCCTACTATAGTTGAACCTGTATGGATAGGGTTATCCGATCAAGTCGTAAGTATTATTCGTTAATCAACTACAGAAAAACCTTTGTTGATTGCACATTTTTACCGAGAATAACATAATAGCAAAGTTGTATTTCGCGGCACTTTGTCGTAAAACATTTTTGACCAGTTATTTAACAAGGCTATAGAGGGAAAAGTCAATTCAATTTCTAATTTTTGGTCATCTCTTTTGGTTATCTACAAATTATCAAAACCTGTTTTGTTCTGTGGGATTTGCAACTCCACTTCTAGTTATATACACTGTACATGAACAACATTAATTTGCGGCAAAAATTCCATAATTGTCAGACAACATCAAATCCTTTCGCCTTTTCTACTCATGATAAGTTTATCGACACTCTTGCGATTAGTTTTTTCATCCTTATATTATTGTATTTTAATCTATTCATTATAATAGTACTTTAATCAAGATGTTGGCGATGTCACAATTGAGTCAATTATAAATTGAAATATAATTTATTGAAGAACATTATCATGTATTGTTCCTATTCTTATCTAATATTTTTTTAATTGACGGGTATCAAAACCAGATTAAGGTAGTATTCGCGAATTCAACTGCAGGTTGACGGTTTAAAGTACGTTTTATATACAACTCCTATAAATATGAATAGTACCTGCCACTATTCCATTCATATTCCAAAAGGTAGTTACAAAGAATTCGTGAGAAATCTGATTCAATGTTCACTTCACAGGAAAATTCAATTAATTTTGCCAAGATTTAATGTTCGCTGTTCATAATAGATAGACGTTCTCTATAGGAATGAACTTTAACATGGAAGTCAATGGGAGAAAGGGGCTTTACCGAATAAAATGTTAACTGTAGAGAGGGTTTCACTGGAGAGAGAGAGAGAGATGTTCACTAACACGTTTTACTATATGTAACATGTTTCTTTAAGTGTTTTATATGGTTTACGGACAACTCATCCCCTAGACAAATCATCCCTGGACATCTCATTCCCTAGACAATTCATCCCCCTTCAATCAATGTTAATATCATATTGAAATTAAAAGTAAATATTTAAAAAACAAATCACAGATCAATTGGTTGATTATCTCTTTGACAAAATCATTTTTTAACAATACGAGGGGTGATCAATAAGTAATGGACGCTTTTTTACACAGATGCTTTTTATAAACCAATCCCTTCGATTTGCTTACCAGTGATACATCATTCAATTATCTATCAACTCTGAAGATTTGAAGACAATATATATATTAAATGTTGATATATCTTTATTTCCGTGAAGGAGGTACAGGTACCCCGGGACCGACATTTATGTCACATATTTTGAAGCTATTTTAGATTGTTTAACATGCAATGCAGTTGAATGCAGGCTGAACAAAACAAACCATTATGGTCATGAATTACCCTGTTTTGTTATGCCATAGTAATATAGTATAATAATTATGAATATTTTATCATCACTATGTGGTATTCATGCCACATTCATTCCACAGGGCCCTCTAAATAGTTTCCATCAAGTGCTACATGTACACAATTCCTCATCCTCTTAACTCAAGATAGTGAGACAAGGCTGAATCCATTCTCTGACATGGTAGCAATATGCAGTTGCACGGGTTGTTTTATTTCATCAATGTCAATAAACCTGCGTCCTTTCTCTATAGAAATAAGTAGTATAGAAATAAACAAGTCGCATGTGCAGATCTGGACAATAGGGTGCATTGTACAAGGGTTCAATTTTGAGGTCCAGGGATATTGTTTTCTGAACAATTTGAGATCTGTGGGCAGGTGCATTGTCCATATGGAATAGGGTGTTCCCTTCCCTCACCACCCCTTTCTTCCACTGAATGCGTTCTCAAATTGACCTGCAAACCCCTTCCATACAACACTCTGACATTACAATACTTTCTGTTTATGTGTTACCAGTCAGCAAAAAAATTTAAACAACACAACACTTGTTGCATATAAAACGTTCAAATCTAACTGAAATTTACCAAACTGGCTAAAATCTGAATATGTGACGTAAATGTCGGTCCCGGGGTACCTGTACCTCCTTCACGGAAATAAGGATATATCAATATGTATTATATATCTTGTCTTCAAATCTTCAGAATTGATAGATAATTGAATGATGTATCACTGGTAGGAAAATCAAAGGGATTGGTCTATAAAAAGTATCTGTGTAAAAAAGCGTCCATTACTTATTGATCACCCCTCGTATTCCCCTCCAGAACGTTTTTATTTATCACTGGTACTCCGCTAGATTATGCTTGTTACTGAAACCGAACGTAACAAATAGTCGGAACCTCAAAGGTACGATCGATTTAGATTTTTTCCTAATTCCTAATTCCGGTGTTGCAGGCAGAATTCCCACAACATTTTATCACAAACATTTGTTGGTATCATATGTTTAAGAAAATGTACATATATGCAACCAAATAGTACAGAAGACAACAGAATCGTTGATTTAATATCTCACTATTGTTACATAAACGGAACGGGTTTGAAGTGCAGGCCTTAATCATTTAAGAAGTTCTGTTTACGTAAAGTAACAAACGCGAGATATAGAATGTCATGGGAATTCTGCCTACAACATGATTGTGAAATAAGGAAAAAAGAAAAATCGTATATGCCTTCGAGGCTCCAACATTTTGTTACCCAAACGGATCAACAGCGTAATCGAGTGGAGTAAGTGTTCATGTAATATATGTTTTTTGAAACTTAAAGCGGACCACATTCACAACCAAAACATTTAAAAATCATTTGAAAAATATGAATTTGTAATACAATATTAAATTCTATAGTCAAACATGCCAAAGGATTAGTCGTCCAGGGGATGAGTTGTCCATTGGATGAGTTGTCTAAGGCATGACTTGTCTAGGGGATGAGTTGTCTAGGGGATGTGTTGTCAAGGGGATGAGTTGTCCAAGGATGAGTCGTCTAGGGGATGAGTTGTCCGGTTACCTTTTATATTGCATGGTCAGACCAAGTAGCCATATTGAAGGTGAATATGTTTTTCCTTTTCCATTAAAGTCGAAAGGTAACTACAGATGGAGTGATCAATGGCCTGTACGATATACCAACTGGGGCAACAATGAACCTAGCAAAGGCCCTGGGGAGGGTTGTGTTGTTAGAAACCCAGATGGGACCTGGAACGACACGTTGTGTACTGGTATACACCCATTCATTTGCAAAACAACAAGTGGTAAGTGCAACTAATATCTGTTATCAAAGGGGTTATGGATGTGGTTATTTCATAAAACATTGAGAAACATTTTATGATTTTATGATAGCCATCCCTCCACCTACTCAACCGTTCATTCCCGGGACGTGTCCAAGTGATGATTGGATAACTGGGACGTCTGCTTGCTACTACATCTACACAGGGGACAAGAAGGAGTCGTGGACTTTAGCTGATCTTGAATGTATGGTAAAAGGTGAATACAAAACAAATTTCAGTCTGTACCAGTAACTGCATAAGAATGATTTATAATGCTTTGTGGAACTTGTGGCATTGGCACATTCAACATCTTTACCGGTCCCTTATAAATATTTGGTACATTCGAGTTGGAGAATAAAACATTTTGCGCTTGGATGCGAATCCGATTTGGGACAAGTTGTCCTCAATCGCCTATTTAATTTGGTTTATCTTAGTGTCCCTCTGTTGAATGTTATCAATTCAATTAATATTGAACACGAATCTTCTTCCTCTTTAACCATAGGTGGTAAACTAGCATCTATAGCAGATCTTGAGGAGAACCAGTTTATCATGGACCAGATTCAAATCCAGAAGCCTGGTGCTAGAGGTGGACTTTGGATTGGACTCTTGCAACGTGCAGGTTTGTTTATGTTAGAAGAATTGGTCTTTCACGATTCCATATGAAATACAGACTTGTATCGAGTATCCCGTCCGTCAAAACCTACTCCAAACATATCAAAAATACAATCCATTACAACAAATCCAAAAAAGATTTCCAATACAATATGACATCAAAAAAGTTGCGAAGCGCTTTTACTGATTATAAGTATGTATTACGAGAATTCGTGTACATGTATACATGTACATGTATATCTGATTTTTAACTATATGAGAAGATGCATACATATAGAACTTCCATTTAGGTGTATTTTGAGTACAATACTAGCAGCAGTAATGATTATTTTGAATAGGTGGTGGTTTCTTCTGGAATGATGGAAAGCCTGTTAGCTACGTCAACTGGCAAAATGGTGAACCATCTGATAAAGAAGGGTCGAACGAAAACTGTGTAGAAATGTATTCAGAGTCGGGGACATGGAACGATCATATGTGCAATGAGGGAAGATGGTACATTTGCAAAGCAGACAAACGTAGGTCCAATGATTATATTCTAATTTTTGAAACGACATATTTTTAAGTTAGGGATAAACAATGAGTCTTGGGTATTAGGAAAAATGACTGGGGTAAGCTTATTGAGAAGTGAGTGGGTGTATTTAGTTTAGCTAATGCCTGGGTCACATATGCTCCGATCCATCGGCCGGCGCCCGGCCGATTGAGTGTTTTGTTCAATAGTGTATTCAATTTTGAACAAAATACTCAATCGGCCGGGCGCCGTAGTGAAAATCGGAGCAAATGTGACCAAGGCATCAAGTGCATTGCATTTAACATGGCATATACAGTTAAAAGTTTGATTTCTTTTGTGTTTACTATTCAACTATTCACACTAGGGTAAAAGCTGCTAAAATTGAACTTTCTTATGTCAAGCAAGTTGGGTGATTAATTACACCCTTGTAGGCCAGTAGCGTATGTTTACTAAGCTTGCTGCTGTGCAGCCCTATTAACAATATTAACACTTTTGAATTTCAAAATAACGGTTTTGGTCAATTCTAGCAAGAATATACAAAAGTTTGTGACATGACTGTTAGCAAGAGATGACCGGGTTAATTTCAGGGTTCAAAATTGATTTGTTTTTAAACTTCTGTTCTGAAATTATGCTAAATCAGAATAAAGTTAAAATCTACTTTTTGTACGGGTAATTCTAGAGCATTTTCTAAAATCTTCTCTTGGTGAAACACATGATTAACAATACTTTGCAACAATATTTTTTTATAAAGTTGGATCCATATTATGAAGGACAGTATATTGCACTTGAAAATCAAAATATAAAGCTATAGTAGCAAGTATAAAGACAAGAAAATGACACATAAAAAACAAAAATACACATAAATCCGAAGGTAATTGATATTCAATACTTCATAAACAATACTTTGCAACTATTTATTTTTGCAAAGTTGGATCCATGCTATTGAGATAAGTCTGTAGTACATAGAAATCAAAATATAAACATGTAGTAACAAATATTAAGTACCTATAATATATATTTTATATATTCACTCGAAAAATCCTTGTGTTAATGGTAAAATACTATAGCAAAACGGAAAGTTCTACGTACATTGATCTTGTTAAGGTACATATTTCCTAAAGTCAAAATTGTTATTAAAGAAAAGAATTATGGATGGTGAAAGATATTTGAAAAGTCTAATTGCAAGTAAAATTTTGTTGAAATAAGTAGTTGCAAAAGTGCTTTAATTGTAACATTTTACCAGTGAAAAGTAGAAATTCCAAGAAATTGTTTCTCTCTGAAAATTCAAATGTTATATTTGAGAAATGACCCACACTTCTTAATGAGTAATATCTAGGAGTTTTACTGGATCAATTTTCTTAAGATTTCACCATTTGGTACTTATTGGACAAGAGAATCCAATAGTAGAGTTCATCATTTTCAGAAACAAAGTTAAACTAGTTTTTAAATCACTTTAAACAGACATTCTTTATGCGGGTTAATTAAGCTAGCCTTCATAGCATTAGAGAAATCTATGCTATGCTTATCTCAGAATGCCTGATAAGGCTAGTAAACAAAGCAGTGGCTCTGGATCAAGGGGTAATTAATCTTCTGAGCTTTTGACATTAACAGATACATGGAGTCTCCAAGTGTGTATTGAAAGAGTGAATAGGGGGTATAATTAGCTCAGCTTTATATAATAGACATACAGAAGCGGAAGAAAAATGTTCGCCTCGATACATATTTCTTGTCGGCCTTTTGGAAGTCAAATGCTAGTAAATGCTTGTCTGCAAGGAGGATTGGAAGCCGTTATTCAAACACGATCCTCTGTTGCTTTAGGTGGCCATTTGGCCATAAGGTGGCCATTTGGGATTTTTCGTCCTAAAATCTTGTAACGTTTTGACTATGTGTTTCCAGGCGAACTGTTTGACAGATCGATTTCAAATTTTCAGGGATGATTCTTTGTATGAAAACCGTTAACTTTTAGCTTTTGGGCATTCTGGGTAAATGTTAAGACGGCAATTTTGGATTTTTTTGTATTGAAATCGTGTCGCTTTTCATGCAAGTTTTATTTAAATTATAGAACTGCGATGACAATAATGTTAGTTTAATTTTAGAAACACCAGCAACATTACCATCAAGGTCGACAACTCGCCAGTTGACGACCAGTCTAACCCCACCCACCACCACTGTAATGACAACGTCCGCTAAGAATACGTTCACTCTGCCGCCCACGCCCGGCACTACCAGAATATTTACCCTGCCCCCATGGTTACAGACAACACCTTTAAATGGAATTAGAACAACAAGAAGGGCATTTACATTACCTGCAGGTGGCTCAACAACTATCCGTCAATCTAACACAGCTCAACCAAACACTGGTAAGATATATTAACCATTAACTGATATTACACCCCTTCTTCCCCTCTGTCTATGGCAACATCATAACAGTTTATCATCCCAACGAACGAAGTTCGGTAGGGATATAGTGAAGCCCTCCCTTCTTTCGTTCTTCCGTGAGTCAGCCAGTCCGTCAAAATGCTGCCTTATGCCTTGGCGGGTGCCGGGGTCACATATGCTCCGATCAATCGGCCGGCGCCCGGCCGATTGAGTGTTTTGTTCAATATTGTATTCAATTTTGAACAAAATACTCAATCGGCCTAGCGCCGTAGTGAAGATCGGGGCAAATGTGACCAAGGCATAATGTGGGTCTGGCAATAATTTTCTGATTTCTTTAAAGTATTTTTGTGTTTCTGACTTAAATATTGTTCTATTTGAATAGTGGTCGCATTATTCGCATTATTTTCTTACGTGGCTTGCTTTTGGGTACTCTTTAGACTTGCATAATCTGTGTGCTTAACTTACAGGTAAAAAACCACTCAGTGGAGGAGCAATAGCTGGTATAGTGATAGGAGTTATAGCTGCTTTGGCCCTGCTGGTTGTAGCAGCCTTTTTCATAAGGAAGAAGCGTCAACTATCAGTGTTGCACCGAGAAATCAGTAAAAACATGAACATGAACAATCCGCTATATAGTAATTCTCAAGGGATAGACCTTTCATCTCCTGCCCCTGTGAACAATTTTGGATACATAAACGATACCGCTACTAACGCGTAGATTATCTCAAAATGGGATGTTGCAATAATACAGTTTATATACCTGGTACATGAAGACATGATATCTGTATCATAAAGATTAAATTCAAGATGAAAATAATAATTGTAAATACGGTGAATAGTCAAAAATATACACTTGTGTTCCATCCATCTTAAGCTATTTTGTTCAGTTTCGGGTTTAGTTTTTAGACTTACTAAAGTGTTTTAGACTTTCAGTAAAGAATAACAATTACCACTACTTTTACTTTATTGTTTCCAAATTATCTTTAAATTAAATATTTGCATTTTCATTATTTAGTTTAGAATGCATTTTACAAAATTCTTCATAATGTTCCAAGTCATTTATGGTTTCGGGTAGAGGTCTGTTGTTGGTTTCTGGAAGCGGAAGAGCGAGGAATCCTGCAACTATTGACAACACTCCGAGAATAACCATGGGCATATAAGTCCTGAAATCACCAAGTTGTTCAACTTTGTTGAAATAGATGATATATGGATACAAAATGCCTCCCAGCCGTCCCCACATCGAACCAAAGCCAGATCCAGTGTTTCTGAAAGGAGATGAATAACAAGATATATTGAAAAGTGTTCGCATGTAATTGCACATGGTGTCAATATATTAAATTTACACTTTGTATTGTAATTGTAGAGTTTTTATGAACACTAATGTAAACTAGACTATGAAGTCATTGATAACTGTGAAATTAGTATCGGTATTTTGTTAATTAAAAATGTTTCAAATGTCTCTGACGTGATCGATAACATCATACTCTTACAAGAATTTTTATTATGTTTAAACTCGTTGCTGGCCCATAAATACTCCAAACATATGAGTAAATATGTAGTGTGCAAAAGGATAATCTTATCAATGTAATTAAACAATTACATGTTGTAGAAATTTAACATTAAAAATAAGGGAAGTGGTTTGTAACATTTAAGAATAACCTTGTAACTTATAAAGCATGTAAGGATTTTGGACAAAAGTGTTTTACTATAACATTTTGAGAATGAAATATAACAATAATAGGTTACCTGATGACAGTTGGGTATATCTCAGGACCGTATATGAAAAGTATGGTGAAAGACGCAGTGATACCAAACTTGCCTAACATGGCCATCGTAATACTAATCCATGATATATCTATTCCTGAAGAAGTTGCCATTGGAATGAAAGGGGTGATCACACATGCAACGCCTCCAAATACATGCGTGGCACATAGAGGCCAACGACGACCTATCCTATAATGAGAACGCTTCAGGTAAGAAGAGAGCCCCTGAATTCTAAGATCGCCCGTTAAGATGATCCTATCTTCATGTAAAGATGAAATCAACTTTTATTGCTCTGTGACGGACACATCGCTTTTTATACCCTCGTCGCCGATCGGTCAAATGACATTTATTAATCGGAAGCTAAGAAAACAAAATTTCCCTATATTGTCGGACCTGGCCAAAATGTGGTAGTGTGGAGAGGTCAAGTCACTGACAAATATTTTATTATGGGATTCTCACAGATTATCTACGTGGGCGCAGACCTGGTTTGGTGGTACTGCGGCTTAAGAGAACATACACGACAAGAATTAATGGCAACAAAAACACATATATTTGTACAATTACAATAAAAATTACAATAAAATAGCAATCTACTCAAATAATGTATGTCTACTGTCTTTATTTATTCTCATATACTCAAAGAGTAATCTCAAAGTCCTTATTATTACTCAAATGCTCTGATAAAATAAAACTCAAATGTCTATCATCACTGAATTGTTCATAAAGAAATACTACTCTCAATGTCCTGAAAATTATATTCACTTGGCTACTCAGTCTCTTCTAAGGTCTTGTTTGATCGTCTCAATTACTCTCTGGTTACTCCTTACAACGAAATTAATAATACTCCTGGTTACTCTTCAGCTTCCTCCAATTTACTCTTGGATTCCTCAAGTTACTCCTCCTCTGCTAATATGGTCACTCTCAATTTACTCCTCCTGCTCTCAAATTACTCCTTGATTACTCCTAATCTCAGACAACTCCTTAATTACTCCAATGATTACTCGTTGTTTATTCCTGCTCTCAGATTACTCCCGGCTTACTCTACTCACAAGTTACTCTTCCCACTCTTTCCACTCTCAGATAACCCCTGGCTTACTCTCACATGGTACTCCCAATTGCTCTTCAAATTACTCTTTCAATTGGATTACTCCTGGCCTACTCTCTGTTAGTTCCGCTGAGAATAATAATTACTCTCGGCTCACTGGTAGATTCTGTAGGGCCAATGAGTAAACCTGAATAAATTAGCTCTCACAATAAGAGTGAAACAATGCTGGAGATGAGTAATTCTAATGAGAAATGCACAATCTATATTACTCCCTGATAATTCACATGAGGAGCAAAGGCAAAGGATCAATTTACTTCGCAAATATCTTTCGCTCTTCAATGGTACACGAGAAGCGTTGAGAGAATGAAATAATGAGTATTTGTTAAGAGAAGCTAAAGGATGATGAATTAATTTATTAAAGAGATATAGATTCCCCTTTTTATTAGCAAAGGTAGAAAAACACTAAAAGCACAACTATAGAAAGGTTATTTGAGATCTCAAACTGATATAAGCATAGAAATACTGTATAAATCAGGTTCTGATCAACACTAAACAACAATTATTCCCAGTCACTCTCTGGTAGTTCCGCAGGAAGTGACAGTTACTTCCAGCTCACTTTTAGATGCCGCAACTGAGAATGAAATGTACAGGCTTAGATATCAAACACTTGGAAGACAACACTGGCAGCCAGATGGAAATATTTAGCTTGGAATTACAAAGTTAAACGCACATAAATGCACCTTTCATAAAGTCTTATAAATAATTCACTGTTTCTCAAAATAATAGATGATCAGCACATCATCATCCTCAACATCATTTGAAGCTATGGAATACGAGCCATAGAAAAAGGTAACCTTACCACATGCGTCTTCCTGCTTCTAGATACCTTACTCCCAACTTCAGGTCATCCACAGGTAGTCACACCACACATGGCCCTGATTCTCTCCCGCTTTTCCCTCTCCAAAACGTCCAATAAACCTACTTCCGTGTAGATTAAACTGCCTCAACAACAGCACAAAATACTTCTCGAATAAATGTCACTATCCTTAATGACAGATTACACTTATCTCCTACGATATCTCCACAAGTTTCAGCATCAATCCAAAGCTAAATGGCCGCCATCTTCCTCACGCTTCTTCTTCCTCAAGCCCCAGGTTCAACTTTTGTAAATCAGGGATCCCACGTGACCAATTTTAGGGGAAACACCCCTTACCTTTTGGTCCAATGTAATTAGTAACTCCCGGGAGAATCCCTCTTAAATTGCTAATGACATGTAACAATTAACTTTTAAATTTATTAAAGATTATTACAATTTAATTAAAATAACATAAAGTGGGGAATTCCTAAATTTCCCACAATATTATAATTTGTCATTTCATGTCAAGATGAAGAAAGCTGTAAAGAATATATTAACATCACGTCAATGCCAAACGTGGTGAATACCGAAACGAGAAGATGGGCATTTTGAAACAAACAAAGAGTGGGAAGAAGAGGTTGTATAAGTTCAGCTATAAACTATGGCGTCTCTCCTCTTGTTACAAGGTGTAACCTTTGATGATTATATAACGGTTTCTTTTTATTCATTTCAATCAAATGTTGAGTTAGTGAAGACGTACCTGAATATAAGAAAATAAGTGATGATGAGGGCTGGGACTTCAATTATCTGCAGGATGAAGTAATTCAGGTACATATCTCCCTGAAAGTTCGGAGTATTGAGGGATAACCCATAGTAAACCATGATATTAACTAACCTACAAAGTAATTTAAGATAATGAAGGGGTTTGATACCCAATACTTTAATGGAAAAAATACAGCACATGTGCTTAGTATTGCCATATCTTGATGAATAAGTTTATAATTTTGAGATTAGATTATTTATCTTCAGCAATTTCTCTTGCAAAAAGTATCCAAACTCTCATTTAGATAAAGGTAGTAGTTGTCAGCTGACTGAGGTTTCTAAAATATTCCTCACCCAATTGTCTGTTGCCATGAAAAAATCTTCACCATGGTAACAACAGAGCTAGAGCTTCTTCCATTCAAAAGGATGTTTGAGGTATACATAAATCACATTCTTACCACAGAAATGATAGACATATCGTGACTCTGCGTGTCACAGGTGTTCTAAATAGATCAATGGCTGTATATATTCGTTCCTTCTCGATATTTTCTTTCTCCTTGATCTTCCCTAGCATTTCTATCGTATCGCCTTTGGATTCGGACAAAATATTCATTGGAAGTTTGACTTTATTCCATTTAGCGGCTTTCTGGATGATACGTTCAGCCTCTCGAAGACGACCCTTTGATATCAACCATACAAGAGATTCCGGAATGAACCTAGAATTCAATCGATTGTTTGTCAATCTCAACATGCCAAATTACAACGAAGATATAATAGAGATGATTAAATACAGAAGGATTTTAAAAAAGAAAGAAACTCACCACAACATAGGGAGAATTAATATAACAGGAAGTGACACGATCAGTTGTAGATGACGCCAGTCTCTGAACAAATAAGCATAAAACCCAAGTAAAACAGCCCCTATTGCCCAGAAGACCTCGTGGATTATTCCAAATGGAACCCTCTCCTTTGGGGGAAATAATTCCATCGCCATAATGAACCCAGTTATATTAACACCCTGTAACAAAAATATTGTTGAATAGGAAATGCAAACCATGTATGAGTTTACCTAGCCAGTTGTTGTTAATGTTCGTGTATGTACTGATATATTTTTACAATTTACCTGTTCTAGCATTCCAATGATAAACCGAAGGCATATGAACATGTAGATGTTTACGGAGAGAGAGAGTAATCCCCCCACCACAGCCTGTGCTGCAACGCAACCAAACAGCACCTTCTTGCGGCCATACTTGTCTGATAGAAATCCGAATAACACAGCGCCAACCATCACGCCAACATTCAGAATAGTTAAGGACATTTCAGGCAGGAAATTGTCCTTGCACACCAAATTCCACTGAAAGTGCATTTAAGAATTTAGTCTTGCACCATTTTTTCTGACTTCCAGATCTCATTCATCTTCATCAAGAAGTATGAATTTTTGTTAGCTGAGGTATGATCAGCAAGTAAAAGGAATAGAGATGGTTTGAAGATTTAAAGATATAGAACCTTCCGAATTCATTACAATTGAAAATCAAGATAAAGGCAAATAGGTACGACATGGAATGATGAGAACTGAATACTAAGTATGTAAAAAATGCGACATTCTCCGAAACTCGTCCCTATCACTCTATTCCCTTAACAGGCCATTTATTACTCTCTAATCCTTAGAATTTGGAAGATATGAATTCCGTGTCTTATTCACCGCTTCTCTAGACATATGCCCTATGACAAGATGGCACACACTACATACATTCATACACTCCCCTCCATAAGTTTGGCAACCTTTTTTCTCCATTGAACTACGTGTTAAAGCCTCTTTACGTTTGACTTTTTATTTACTTAACCGGCGATGAAATAACTTATGATATTGATGGAAACGTAACTTGACTTTATTTCCAAAACCTCCAAATTTTCTCAATTTTTTTCCTCAATTACAATAGGTCGAAAATTGATGATAAATTTGATGAATTTTTGAAAATCGTCTTTCTCATGTAATCCAATGGGAAATGGAGGGTTCAGGGCAAATCAGAAATCAGGATATCTTTTCAGTAAAAGATTCAGCAAAAAATATTTTCATATAGAAAATTGAATTGTCTAACTTTTTTGAACACTAAGTGTTTAGTTTATTTGATGAATATTAAAGTTACAGCGCTTCAAAGTCATTTTTGAAAATTATTTTTCGCCTCCTGTGTTATTTCAATGGGAGAGGTTTTTTGAAAAACAATTTTGACTTTAAAGCCCTATAACTTTGTTGAACCTGAAGGAACATATCAATTTTTTGTTAAATAAAGTTAGCAAATTCAATTACCTGCCTAACTCGTATTTTTGCAAGGACTCGGATGGATGGATATTCTGTCATATGACTTGCGGCAAACCTACCATTTCCCATTGGTTAACATGGGAATGTCGATTTTCAAAAATTCATCAAATTCATCATCAATTTTCGACCTATTGTAATTCAGGAAAAAAATTGAGAAAATTTGGAGGTATTGGAATTAAAGTCAAATTACGTTTCCATCAATAGTATAAGTATTTTCATCGCAGGTTAAGTAAATAAAAATTCAAAGGTAAAGAGGCTTTAACACGTAGTTCAAGGGGGGAAAAAGGTTGCCAAACTTATGAAGGGGAGTGTACAACATTCCATGCCCTTGTCATCTATAATACCCGTAATGTTGCTGCAACATGATTATCAAAATATTATAAAAAATTAAGAAAATAAATAAAAGCTAGCTATGCAAATATGTAGTCAAGAACACATGTTTCTAAGTTATAGATATAACTGAAATAATTATTCAGGTAAGCTGTTCTGCAATATGATACAGAAATTGTTATCTGTGTTACTTACCTCAGTGACAATTGATGACGTTATCGGATCCCTATCGTATGTCCAGCCATTATCACACCCAACTAACGATCGACTCCCTATCGTTGTATCGTTGGAATAAAATGTTTCATAACGATGGCACTTGTCAACTTCAATCAGGCCATTTTTTAATTCGACGGGTATACTTTCATTTAGCGTACTGTTATCAGGTATCTGTAATGTATAATAGAGAGATTGCTCATACGTGAAAGCATAACTTGTGTTAATGCGTATATCTACGTTATAAGTATTTAATATAAAAATATATATATGTAGTTACAGGGTGGGCCAAAAAATAACACCCAACTTGAAATCAGGATAAGAATAGTTACTCTCAATACGATACGCTGATCATTTTAAAGGTAATCTATATTCATGAAATCAAATTGTCATGAAATCAATATTAAAGTTTTATTATACTTATTTGTGAGGCCGGATTGCTGTTTAAGGTCTCCAGATTTCAGATCTGCGGAATTATGTTTTATATTTATAGAATATCATTTTGTTTGGTGAATGCATGCTTGTATATTAACATAGTTGTGTGACTAAACTTACTGTTTATGAATTTCAATTTCAATGTGAGCCAATCCTCCTTGACGTCATCAAAACTTTTCAATAAGACTTCCGGTTACTAACCTTACAGTGGTGGTTCGGCTCGAATCCCATAAATGTCATTATATTCATATGCATCACAGAGGGAAAATTGTTTGCAGTTGCGATGATGGCCCATGCTATAACCTGAAATCGTCCATGGGCACCTAGCAATTGCAGAACATCATCAAGATCCATGTCGATGCTACTCCTATGGGTCACAATTGTACTTATTGTGACTCGTTTTTACACTATGTCCATGTCATACTTTACTATACGAATCCAAACCTAAACTTACTTCATGTCGTTCAAAATGCGAATTGGTGGTTTGAGATAAAACAAAGGGGCCGTATCAATTTTGCATGGACGCTTCAAACGTGTGAGGAACGGTACAACGAGAGGAGATGAATGGGAATCATCATTACCTGTTTCTAATGAAAACATCTGATTAATTTCAATTTCCACCCTTTCTCGAGGTACCGTATTGCGGGCGTTCAGCAGCTACTTGAATGTAATTGGCACAGTCCCTGTGATAAGGTTAGATATGTAATGAGTAGCAATGTTTATTAATGTCACTCTAGAATGTATATAACTTGTACTTTTCTAAACATAATGTTTAATAAGAGTAAATAGTTAGGACTATCTCTAGAGTCTCTAGCTGGGAATATATGAACTATACATGCAAAACCTATTTAAAGCGGGAGTGGTTTGATCATTCTTGTACTTTGAATACTAATGAAATATTCCTATATTACTTCTTTCACTTATCTATCTGGGGTATGTTCTTGTTAATGAACAACTGATATAACCACCTATTGTAAATTACTGTCCCCCTAAAATTAGTCCTTGACCCCGTACACATTGTGTTAACAGTACATGTTAAGCATTTGAAATAAAGTAAATAAGACTGGCCTATTTGACTTATAACCACCAACCTATTTTCTCACAGTAATCACTGTTCCACAAATAGTTACAGTACTTTGACGGAACGTCGTAACAAAATAGATGAACTTCCTGGTTACGGGTTTTTTGTTTTCTCGATTCAAACCCTACTTAAAAGTCAAGTTGCAGATTATAATTTGGCACAAAGCTAGAACATATAGTCTAGTTTTGACAAATTGCTTCGATTTGGAATTTGTTTTGTAAATGAAGTTGCAATTCATATATTTAGCCCCTCGCTTTTGTTACATTGACGAAAGTTCGTTATATTACCAATGTATGTTACTTTGACGACTTACGTCAATGTAACAGAAGCGATGGTCTAAGTGCACGAATTACAGCTTTTAAAAAAAATTAATTCCAAGCCGAGAGCATTTCTAAAAGCTAGACTATATTCTCTAACTTTGTGCCAAATGATAAACCGCAACATGACTTATACGTAAGTTTAAATCGAGAGAACAAAGAACTCGTATCCAGGAGGTTCGAATTCATCCATTTTGTTACATTGCCGTTCCGACAAAGTAACTACTGTTATTCAATATACCAGAAGGAAACCTTGTACAAATTAGGAAAATCATGTATATTCTAATATTTAGAAGTCCAAATGGTGTGCTATCTAAAGTAGATGACTAATTTTTCTACACAAAATAGAAATGTCAAGCTCGAACTGACTGTTTCACGTTCAAACAGACTTTGTAAGATGGTATAATCTGTGGTATAATGAGAATGGGGTATGTAAGCTGTGTAATGTAAATGTCCTTCATATTACTGCCCCGATTTCTCTAATTAGAGTTTCAAATTAAGGTATGCCAACATGAAAAATCAGCATCATGAAACTTATGATCCTATCAGGTATGAGCCTTGAAACATCATAATACCATATTGAGCCTAAAAGGTATGAGATATAACAATTTGAAACACCATAACATCATAACATCATACTGATCTTAAAAGGTACGAGCCTATGTAACAATTTGTGCCATCATAATACCATATTGATACTAAAAGGTATGAGCCTGTCTAACAAATTTGAAACATATAATACCAAACTGATCTTAAAAGCTATGAGCCTATATAACAATTTGAAACATCATAATACCATTATAGGAACAAAATGCGTAAATGAAGTCTCACATTTGATCTTCATAGTATTCCCAATGGATTAGTAATTAAGTACCTGATCTTTCATTTGACACCAAAAACAGCTCAAACAGATCACATAAGAGTTGACACTAGATCTTGAGAAAATATTTTTGATCCATCAATTTATATATTTCAAGTTTTAGCAATGCCATTGAAAGATGGCATTGTTGTTTGCATAAATTATCCATTCATATCCATTTTTGATAGGATTTTCAACCATACGCCATCTTTTAATTCAAGAGTTATGTAAAGCATACACTTTGTGAAAAGTGTGGAAATGGGTAGTTCACTTCTTTTGATCTCTGAACTTCAAATGCTGTTTTCTGGGCAAGCAATTTTTTTCACTTCAGTATTGACCCAAATTAAAGTTTTTATCATATTTGATTCAGTGTGTGAGTAACATGTCTCAAATAATATTTTGTCCCTTTTCCTTCAAAAATAGGCACATTACCTGTTTAAAAGGTATGAGCCTATATAACAATTTGTAGCATCTTAATACCACTTCCTTGAAGGTGTTGTTTTCCAAAAGGATTGGTATCGATATGGTGAACTGAGTCCAACAATGTTTCTCTCTTAAACCAATTATTGAAAACATTCTGTAAAAAACACGGCCCTTTATGTAATGTTGACTGATTGACAACAATTTAATGCGAAAATAATTTATATATATTTTATATAACTGTTTATTAAATAAAATATCTTTCCGAAGCTTGTTGGAACAAAATTGCATATACAACATTTTCTTAGTTCTCTCAGTATTATAGTTATACAAAGGAAATTTTGGATGATTCAAGAAAAAATATCTAAAAATTTAACATTTAACCAAAGAGATAAATATTAAGATAAACCTTTTATTTCATTAACAAGATACTTTTGAAATCAACCAAACTTTCCTTTGTACAATTACAATATTGAGAGACCTATACACGTTGTGTTTATGTCATTTTGTTCCAATGAGGTTCGGATAGATGTTTCATTTCATTCCGAACGTATGATACCAAGAACAAAATAAGTGTCTGATGTGTTTTCTAAAACAATATAGAGAACGGTATATATATAGACTATTTATTTCAAATTATATTGTTACCATTCAAAAAAAGATCATTAAATTGACAATGTGTAAAATGAGTGGTATCTGTTACGCGGAATATGGCATATATTCATGGTTGCGCGGTATTTGTGATACGGGTGAATATGCCATACTCACCTGCGGTATATGTCATATTCCGCAGGTGAGTATGGTATATTCCACGGTGAATATGTGATACATTACTTTCAGTGAATACCCGATACTCACGTGCAGAATATGTCATACTCATTTGCGGAATATGCCATATACCCCAGGTGAGTATGACATATACCGCAGGTGAAAACGTAATACATGGAGCCTTGATTTGATTGGTTGCGAAAATCGACTCTAAATGTAAAACTATGCTGGATTACCAATACTGTTAGTGCCTCGAGTACTAATATATGAATCCTTGATTTATTGAATAAGTTTATTACGTAATATTGCCGCAGGTGAATCTGTCATACACCGCAAGTGAATATGCCATATTCGTTGCGGAATATGACATATATTTGTATCGTGTTTACCGCGTAACAGTTTGGATATTTCATCAAGACTAACATACAATTTTATTATCTCCAAAGAAACCCCCTGAATGAATATTATTTCAGCTGATATTCCTCTTGAAACGTGGTGGATCTAGGAAATCTATAAGTGGGACTCCCTTTATAGAACCTTGAACTGAATTTACACTTAACTATGCTGAAATTGATAGTTTATACATACATTTTAAGAAAATAGGTATGTCAAAGAAGATTTTAAGTAAAATGTTGCCCCGATAGCTCAGAAAAAGTAAAATTATTTGAATTTTTTCTACAGGCCTTGTTGCCCCTTTAATGGCCTAGTCACATAGCCCGGCCGATGTCCGGCATCGGTAGAGCTCGGTGGATTTTTTTGGTGCCACCGAGCTCTCCTCATCGGAAGCAGAGCTCGGTGACGTGAACGGACCGTCCGGACATCTTCAGGCGACCGACCGAACACCGGCCGGTGACCGTACGGAGTCTGTCTCAAAATGGTAGTTTTTTTCTGCCGATGTGGCAGCAACTACCGGCCGGAGGTCGGCCGGACATCGGAAGGAATACGGCCGGTACCCGAGCAGGTAACAGGACACCGTGCGATCGCCGGCCGGGTTGTTAACGGGCTTTGAACAGTGACCGGCCGATGCTCTGTCCCACATCGGCCGGAGCTCGGTCGGAGCTCGGCTGCTGTCCGTTAAAAAACCTCGTCCTCTGGTTGTCTCAGATGCACGGGACACCGGCCGACGTGTTTTCCGATGTGGTTACGATGGGGCTGCGATGACATGATGAGGGAACTCGGTGAGAGCCCGGTGAAATTTAACTCCGAAGTTAAAATTGCACCGAGCTACCACCGATGCGGTTTTAAGCAACAAACGCCACGGATGTCCGGCCGGTGTTCGGCCGAGTTCGGTGAAAATTGCATCGCTGGCTCATCGTAACCTCATCGGCCGGGCTATGTGACTAGGCCATAATAAGTGACGTTTACATGATATTGGTCATTTTGACATACTGTTTTTGATTCTGAAACACGAGGTCCCATCTCTTACATATTCATGGCACTAGCAGAAGATGGCTCATCTATTGCTGAGAAATTACTTGTCAAATTGCTTCTCATTTTTTGGTACAAACGCGATGAAGTTCTCATTGTGTTGCTCCGGTATGGGATCTTATTAGTACTCACATATTACTTACTTGATCTTTTTCATATTTTTGTATCTTGCTAACGATACTCTTTGGCTACATTGTACAAATTTTCAGTGAATTTGTCATCAGTTGCCGAGATAATACTTGTCAAAAAGTGGCTCATCTTTGGGACACCTGATACATTGGTAAACATAGGAATGTCGATTTTCAAAACTTCATCAAATTTATCATCAATTTTCGACTTATTGTAATTAAGGAAAAAATGGAAAAATTGGGAGGTATCAAAAGTCAATCTATTTTCATCAATAGTATAAGCATTTTCATCGCAGGTTAAGTAAATAAAAATTCAAAGGTAAAGAGGCTTTAACACGTAGTTCAATGGGGGAGCTAAGGTTGCCAAACGTATGGAGGGGAGTGTATATGAATGTATGTAACGTGTTCACGTCTATCACCTCGTTTTTGTAAACATCAATCCAGTGTTAACTTTTATTTACCAGAGCCATTTCCTTATCGCCTAAGAGAGCGACACAAACCTGAGAAAGAAAGATTTAATATGGTTTACCATAAATCATTGAGAGCAGTGCGAGTAAGTGGGCACATGGACGTAAAAAAGCGGTGTGCATCATCCAGCCGTACTTTATACA